TTTTTTTTTTTTTTTTTTTTTCTCAGGTCTTGAGGCCTCCTATTTATAGGCTCCTGCAGGATGCTTGACCTGACTAATATTTTATTTAAATTGAAGTCAATCACAGAAGATCATTTCCTTTAATTTTGTCTTCACTTTGAACCGTTTGATGCACTCAATCGGATGTCGACACGTGTCAACTAATTCCGATTTTGATGAGTCATACGCCACATGGGCGAATTAGGAGGCCCACAATTTAATTCACCAAACCCTAATTATTTTCTTATTTAGTAGAATTTAATTCACCAAAAATTCATTGTCTACAATTTGTCCCAAAGAGAATCCTAGTCAAAGTCAAACATGTGCTTTTGCTGACCAACCATATCATCCCAGATTCTTTCAATATCAAAACCTAGCAAACATACAGAAATGGCTCACTAAGTTTGATTGATATGCACTATTCATTTATCCATGCCATATCATACGTGTGCTAAAATATGAATATGGGTTTGAATATGTTAGGTTCTTCTTTTATTCTTCTCCATAAGGAGGTATATATAAGAGTTTACATGAGTGCTTTACCAGGAATTAGATACAGTAAAGGATTAGGAAAATATCTCCTAATTATACAATGATTTGACAACTATATAAAATAGAAAAGTAAATCCCTTAATTAATCAAGGAAATAAATCTATAAAATAGGAAAGTAAATCCCTTAATTAATCAAGGATATTTCCTTGATTAATTAGGAGACTCACTTCAACACTCCTCCTCAAGTTGGTGCATATACGTCAAATGCCCAACTTGGTAAGTGAGTCATGAAATTCGTAGCACCCAAGTCGATAATCCACGCGAATGTTTGAGAGGACATATGAAAAGTAGAACATCAGGATTGACCGCATGCTTTTGTGAGTCTTAAGATTCGATCAACTGCATTCCTATGAGACACATTGTGCCCATGTGCCATTCTTCTGGATAGCTCGCATTTCTTCATTCATGTCTTCTTCCCATTTTTGGTCTTCTAGTGCTTCAGTTACACTGTTGGGAACAGGTATGTCGGCTAACTGCTTCACAAAGTGTACCCGTGACTCTGATAATCTGTTGAGGGATACATAATTGTTGATGGGATATTTCCCCTTTGCATTAAGATCTGCTTCGTAGTGAACTGGAGGTTTACCACGATTCTTCCTTTTTTTGGAATCTGATATGCAGGCTCTGTGCCTTCTGAATGACGTCCTCAGCAAGTGATTGGTGTGGTACTGGAGCTGAAGAATTCTCCAGAGCGAACACAAACTCCTCAATTTTCTCCTCCTGAGTGTGATGCCAGGGAGATGACTGAAGCGGAAAAAATCTCATAAGATGGTTCAATTTCCTACTCCTGATTTTGACAGTGTGGAGAAAACTGATCGTTTTCCTCTGGTGACCGGTCGCTGGATTTTGGTGACCAGTCAGTTTGAAACAGCTTCTTTGACTACCAGTCGCTTTCCACTAGCAACTGGTAGTTTTGAAGCAGATTCTCCGTGTTCGAAGAACTTAGGGGGGGGGGGCGATCGCTTTCCACTAGCGACCGACATTTGATTTAGGAATTTGATTTGATGAATTTGATGTAGGAATTGGATTTGGATTTGGATTCAAGTTGGAACGTTGGGATTCAAATTCGGATTCGAATTCAGATTTGGATTTGGATTCGGATTCAGGTTGGAAGGTTGGGATTCGGATTCGGATTCAGATTCGAATTTGGATACGATATCCATGGCAGCGGAATGATTTAAAAATAAGAGAAAAAAGATGTGTTTAGGGTTTCGGGATAAAAGTATATGAGGATGTGGGTATGAAGATCTGAATCTGAACAAGGCAGTATGAGGAATACAATACGAGGATACGAGGAATTTGATTTAGGATACGAGGATATGAGGGATACGATACGAGGAATGTAAAGAACACAGAAACCCTGTGAACACGGCTAAGAACACAGAAACCCTGTGAACACGGCTTAAGAACATAGAAACTTCTCTTCAATTCTCTTCTCCCCCTGAAGAGAAGAGTATGTCGGAGTTAAGAAAGATGCAAAATCTTCATGATAAAGAGAAACAGATCATTTTTCACTCCCCCTCCCCCCCTTGAAGAGGAGGGGAGGAGAAATTTTGATATGAGAATTTAGAGACAACCGAGGATCGATTGCTCTGATACCATGCTAAAATATGAATATGGGTTTGAATATGTTAGGTTCTTCTTTTATTCTTCTCCATAAGGAGGTATATATAAGAGTTTACATGAGTGCTTTACCAGGAATTAGATACAGTAAAGGATTAGGAAAATATCTCCTAATTATACAATGATTTGACAACTATATAAAATAGAAAAGTAAATCCCTTAATTAATCAAGGAAATAAATCTATAAAATAGGAAAGTAAATCCCTTAATTAATCAAGGATATTTCCTTGATTAATTAGGAGACTCACTTCAACAACGTGCTCCTTATATATGTATATTTTTCCAAAAGGAAAAACTACAAAACTAAGATGGTAGGAAACCCTTCAACTTCAGTTTGAGATTGTTTTCACCTTTTAAACAAGCTATTTCTAATGTGCTTTGAAAATGATCAGCTGTCAAGTAAAGCAGTTCCATGTTTGGTAAACAATATTTTTAAAGTGATGTTAGTATAAAAAGTAGTATTAAAACTTTGTGAAAGCAGCTTTGAAAAGCAACCTAGAGGCTACTTTTAAAAGTTGCTGTCATAAGGCCATTGCTTTTAAAACAATCAAGATATTTTATTTTTACCAAACACTTTAATAGCATGTTTACTAATCCATAATTGGATTAAGAGGAATTGAATTGAGGAGGAGTTGGATTGAGGAAAATTAGATTATGGATTTCTATTGAATTTGTTTACTAAACCATATGGATTGAGGAGAGTTAGATTCAGAATTCCTATTGAAGTTGTCTACTAAACCATATGAAATTTGGGTAGGTGTGGTACTAATTACTAAAGTAGATGAAAAATTTGGAATGTATAAAATTGTGTGAGGATATAATGGGTAAAAAAGATGAATTCCTAATGGGTTAGTTCTTTAGGAATTACAATACCACCTCCTACCCAAGAATTGAATTGAATTTCTAATTTTGTGTGAACCCCCACTTACTTTTTAATTCTTGAATGTGAATTAAACGCAGGAATCATCCATAGGTGAAATTCAATTCCTAATGAGAATTCCAATCCTTGATTAGTAAACACATCATAAGATAAAAGCAATTCCAAATGGACCCTAAGAGACAAATTAAGTACTTGTGTTCTAAAAATTGAAGGCTTGAAAAGTCCAGCCCAAACAAGAATGAAAAGCAGCCAACACCCACATAAATTAACGAAGCAGGTCCTTCCTTAGATCGGACTTTTTGGAGTTATCAACCTTAACGGGCTGGGTTATTTTTCACAGATGGGCTACCTATGTTTAAACTTCAAGGCAAAGAAAAAAAGAAGAAAAATAAAGAAGAAGAAGCAAGCCTTTCAATTCAATTCAACGTGGCCTATCAAAATTCCTCAGCTTATCTCTCTCTCTCTCTTCCTCAACGATTTTTCTAGGGTACTCTCACAGTCTCAGCTCAGCTCAGATAGTTGATTCATACTAGATAGATAGTAGAATCAATCACACAGACAGACGGATTGTGACACTCAGTCTTTGAGGTCCGAGTTTTTCTTTATTTCTCCATCCGTCAAAATCCCACCACACAACAAAACAAACTTTTCCGGGTTTCCTTTTCTCTTCTTCGTTTCTTTTGTTTTTTTTTTCTTTTCTTTCCTATTAAGCAGTCTTTGTGGAAAATATATTTTCTAAAATTTAAAGAAAAGACCTCTCACAACTTGGGTTTGCGTTTGCCTTGTGGCTTCTTCTTCTATCAAATGAAGAAGTATGCGGACAAACCTCCGTGCACCAACCTCAGTACCATAGCAGATGGCGGGCAGTGATAATATCAGCACCCACAGCCACAAGGTATTTCTAGTCCCATCCCATCACGCACGCCTCTTCGTTTTTCGTTTTTCGTTTTTCATTTTTCATTTATCTTTTTTCGTTGGGTTGCTTAAGATTTTGGTGTAAATATGGAATGAGATAGGGTTAGGATTGAGTAGCAGCCGCAAGCAGCACAGAGGAATTGTGATGTTGAGGAGGATAGTAGGATAGTAGGATAGGATTACTTGCTGCAGAAGCGCGTTAATTAATTTCAATTTCAAGGACTAGTACTAGGATGGATGAGATGGTGGTGTTCTTAGTGTGCATGTGTCTGGTGCCTGACCTGAGCCCCTTTGATTAGAGATTCCCTTCCCTGTTGTCTTTGTCCTTGTAACGATATACGCAACAAACTAACAACGTTGGACCGGAAGCATCACTCCTTTACAATGTTTTTACTTCTCATAGTGACCATCCTTTGTACTATCTAAAACACAATAAGAAAGAATCTGGTGAAGGAGCTGGAACTAATAATTGACAAGAGTGATGCTTGATGACTTAATTGTTTGTTACATGCTTTGTGAACCCTACTGGTCCGGTTCTCCCACTTTTCTGCTACAAATGGTGTAGGAAAATAGGACCAGCGTATGTAGTATAGGCAAAATTGTTTCATTTTTTTTCTTCCCTTCTGGCCTATCAGGGGCTTTTCAATGGCTTCAGTTGTGTCATTCCAATAATGGAAAACCTGACCAATCAAAATCTGATCATGTTCTGCATTGGGTCCAAGGAGGCATAATCTCAGCCTGAGCCGTTTGGCTGCGTACTAGGTTAATACTATGGAAATAAAACAAAATCTGGCATTAGAACTTTAGTGTACCAAGTTATATTATCATTGCCCTTCATGGTTTCTTCTCTTGCTTATTTTGTTGTTTGTAGTAAGGTTTTTGTTCATATTGACCAAGTTTTTGGCACAAATCTGTATCCCTTATTTCTCAGACCTTGAGATTGTACATTTCACTTCACTACCTCAATCTAAACCTGATAGGCAACTTTTTTCTTTTTCCAAGGATTTCTACAAAGTTTTGGAGGTTGATTATGATGCAAATGACGAGAAGATCAGATTCAATTACCGAATGCTTGCTCTGGTTTGTCATAACACTTTTTTTTTTTTTTTTGCATAATACCTGGATGGGGCTTTAACATTACTTGATTGTGAATGTTTCTTGATCTGATGCAATTGAACTCCGGGAAATTTACATGATTCTTCTGGCTAAATATAGAAGTGGCATCCTGACAAGTACAAGGGTGACAGTGACGTTACGACAAAGTTTCAAGAGATTAATGAAGCTTATGAAGGTAATTTTCCTTGTAGAAAGTGTGAAGGTCTGTTTCCATGTTTCTTCGTCATTCCCTTTCTGCTCAGTTGGTGACTTTGACTAGGTACAGAATTTGCAACCTTGAAACTTGTAGTTGGTCTTTCATCTTAAAATTTAAAAAACCTGGGATGTATAAACAACAATTTGGCTTCTTTATGAATCAAATTAAATATTGCCAAAAAGCTGTGTATTATGCTATTAGAATAGGTGGTATTTTCATTTTGTGGCTAATCTAGAATGGAAGCGACTCCATGGATTTTCACTCATTGTTTTTCCCTTTTATCATTCTTGTGCAGTGTTAAGTGATCCTGCTAAGCGACTTGACTATGATTTAACTGGAACTTATGAGATTGATAAGTACACTTTACGGGTATGAACCTTTGTCCCTTTGCATGTCATCAAATCTACCTTTGTCAATCTCAGTTTTGATAGGTTTCTTTGGGGACCAGGATAGTTGGTTATATTACTGAATATAGATGATGTTATATGGCATGGCAATTCAGGAATATCTTGCCAGATTTAAAGGAATGATACTTACGTGCAATGGGCTGGGTATTGGCCATACATCAACATGGTAATGTAAATGCAGTTTTCTGTAGTAAAATTTTGACAGAGTTACATATGAAATGATATGATGAAGGAAAAAAAACTGGCAACCTATGTATAATTGCTTTGCTTCCATAACGATGCAGGGCAAAACAAGTGACGGAAACTGATGGCTTAAGCGAAAAATAAGGTTTAAGGTATGGTGCAGTGCAGCTACTTGGACAGGTCGGCTTCTGAGAATCTGAGTCTTATGTTGACAAGTAGTAGAATTTATACCTACTACAATACTACAAGTGAAGCTGCATAGCATGAGTGTAGTGTAGGCCCGGGCCAGTTTGATTTGAACGGTAATATCGTATGTCTGTGGATCTTTCTAAACGTAAAATATGATGCGCAAGTGTATACTTGTTATATAATATTATGAACAGCATTCATATTGTATAAATGCTGCACAACACAACCATCATGGTTATGGTTCGTGTGTGGATGGTCAAATGTTTTGATATATGGTTTTGTCATGTTGAAATGGTATGTTCGTGCTACATACCGTCGTCGTTTCGTTTGGATTGGAAGCATTTCATTCAGATTCATGGCCTGCTCGCCTCCTAATTAATAATTTAGTTAAAAACAAAAGAAAAGAAAATCAAAATCAAAATCAAAATCAATTTGTTTCTTTATTTTAGACTCCAAGTCTGTCAAAGTAATGAGTGAGCAGCCAATGAAATGATCAAACAATCATGAATTCATCAATCAAGATCAATCAAGAGGAGGAGGAGGAGGAGGATGAGGATGAAGAAGAAGACAGAAATAGATGGATATGGTCGAGAAAGGTGAGATGCTGCGGCCTATCTTGGCGCTTGACGTATCCCCGCGCCTCCTTCTCGGAATACGTGCTCAAACCCATCTTCCCATTCTTGATCCACAGCTCCATCGCGTAGCTGCTGTGCGCAAAATACGCATTCGCCGCCGCCGCCTCCTCCTCCTCCTCAGCCTCTAGCTTTATGGGGAGCCTCTCGTAGTGTCCGCGACTCGTGCCCTCCAACTCATCCATGCGAGCCAATCCGTGACTCGACACGGCGTACAACTCGCCCATAACCCGCTGACCCAAGCCTGGCAGGTTCAGGAGAAAGGGCACCCGATAGGGCCCACACACCAGCGGGTACTTTTCTTCGCTTCTGTAGTTTCCCAAGAAAACCGCGTCTCCGCTTCTCATCAGCTCCTGCATTAAGCTGTGGTTCCAAAATCCCCGCTTCAGGGTGCCGTACGTGAACACCCGCCCTCTTCTACCTTTCTCGTCGTCATCAACCATCTTCTTCCTCTCCTGAAATTTTCTTGTTTTCTTTTTCTCACTTTTTTGTTCTTTGTTTTCGAAGTTTGGATTTGGAGAGGGACGTGGTGGGTGGATGGAATTGGAAATGCCAATGGCCCAATGGTAAGGTTAGATTACAAACTAAACTAGAAGAGGACTCTAACTTACTTGGTATTTTTAACCGGATTTTTTTCTTTTCTGCTTTGCCATTATCATATTTGCTTTTTATTTATTCATTTTTTATAATGGTATTATCATATTTGTTTTTTGACTGAACAATTTAAGATCAAATTCCAACTTAGTTTTGTATGAATGCCAAATTACACTTTTTGTGCCTATAGTATGAGCAATTTTCCACCTTGGTCACATAGTTTCCAATTTTTACAATTCTAGTTTGTAATTTGTTTAATTTGTAATTTTGGTTTGAATCACAAATTCATCGCACTTATGTACATACGACAGCATTAGATTGTTGCCGTCAACTTTAACGGAGCTAACGATTGATGCATACTACAATTGCAAAACTAAACAAACTACAATATTAAAATTGCCAAAATTGAAACTACGACACTAAAGATTTTTTTGTTGTTTCCCAAACTACGTAAACTAAAATATTTATAGCCAAAAGTTGTTTCCCGGACATTCTCAATTCTACTGAAGAAAATAGAATATTTCAAAATACGTTTTTTCTTTTGTTACGACAGTTTCTGTGCCCGACAAATCGATGAAATTAAGAATTTCATGACACCAAGTCAGTCACCGTCAGATTTGAACCATTGCACAATAATTATAATGTACAAACATATGAACAACAGGTACCTCTAACAAAAGAATTTTGGGAAATTAACAAAGGGTCTAATTAGAAGCTCGATATTTGATCGGACCCAATGTCTGACCTAATAGTGGAACTATCAAGATTGAATGCGAATGATTCTGCCAACTCTACTGCATCTTGAATCCTAAGCCGAGTGCCCTGTTGCCCCACAACTGTGGCTGCAACCCTAGCTGCTAATGTACCTATTCCTTTCAAATCTGACACTCCTCGTAAAATACCATACAAAACTCCAGATGCGTATGCATCTCCGGCACCACAAGTGTCCACCGGTACACATGGAGAAGGAGGGATATATACAGCTCCCCCTTTTACACCAATGTATGAGCCTCTTGGTCCATCAGTAACTGATGCCAAGGGAACAAAATGGCTCAGATACCTCGTGGCTGAAATGGGGCTCTCCTTTGAGGAAAAGTGACAGAAAGCTCTTGCTTCGTCACTGTTTGCAAAAACAATGTCCGCATAGTTTCCAACAATTTCCCTGGACAAATTTTTATAAAATTAATATTAATTTCAGGAGATATAAACCAGTGTTCACGTCACAAATGTAAAGCAGAACACTCCAAGTCTTAACCACCATCCGTGCATGCTGGATGTCACAAATGACGTAAGTTCCATAAAATCAAATGTCCAATTTTACAAACCTATTTTTATTGCCATGGAATTTATACGTCAGTCTCAAATAAGGAAATAAATTCTTTCAAAGAGGTTACACACAGACAAGATGACAAATGATAGTTTATCATCAAGTTTGTAATGCCTTCATCATTTCAAAACTTTTTTCCCCCTATATATAATGAAACAGAAATCATAACATTGCATTCAATTTGTGGGAAAAATCTGTAAGCCACTATATAGATTCCATTATTTAACTAAAATAATCCTTATTGGAAACAAGTTAGAATTAGTTAAATTGTTCCTTCTCGCTTTCTTATAATTATAAAGGGGAAAAGAAAAATATGCTAGGCAATGTCATATGTATAAAGTATAATGCAGTAAACAGAGTAACAATACCAGAAATCATCATAGTGTCTCTCAATGCAGGAGACGTCTGATGCTGTTACTGCAACCACGGCACCGCTCCTGCGTGCTTCTTCACATGCTTTTGTAATTGTTTTGATTGTATCCGGAAGCTCAAATAGATACCCTTCAACTACAAGTATTTTTGTATTGCAAACTGCGCTAGCCAAGCATGGATCATAATTAACAGTCGAAGATGTACCCTGGAACCATTAAGACAGATATATAAGGGATCTCCTTTGATTTACCTCAAAGACCATATACATGACTAGACCAAATGAAGAAATCACAAATACTGACCAAACAAATAACAGCTAGAAAATAGAAACCTGATTCACATCAAAAAATCTTACAGCTTTCAGACATCCAAACCAGATCTGACCTGATATGCAAGCATTGTACGCTGGGCATCTGAAGTTGTGAGGACTATTACTGTCCCTGTTGTCCCATCCTTGATAGGTGCAGAAAGAAAATGCAAATTTGCCCGATGTAACTTTGACCTATACATACATTATGAAATAATCCACATTTTGTAAGATCAGTCAAAAGAAAAAGGAAATTTTTTTAAAAAAAGAGAAAGAAAACCTGCAGAACAAGAACCAAAATTTCCAAATTGTTGACAAAGTAGAATCCCTATGATCAATTTAAATACCTCTGACAGTGCCAGAGATGGGAGGCCAATAAAATATGAGAGCACACTCTAAAAGCACACTGATAACACAACCTTCAGTTATGTGATGATTGCCATATTATAGGCAGATTCTAATAAAAAAGGATTGATCCCTATAATTCATTGAAAATTGAAAGGCAAAAGGTACATGTTTCTAAACAGGTGTCATCTCTGTTGAATTCATCCAGACAAAAGAATAGGAGAAAGGAGGAAGAAGAGAGAGGAGAAGAGAGGTGGAGGAGGGCGGCCGTTCAGGGTTGGAAGAGCCTGACCTGTAGAAGCCACCCAATGGATCACTCCCGACACTCCCTGCCATCGCTACATTCAAGGGAGAGCCTCCAATGGACCTACTACCAAGCCTTGCCAAGGCCACTAGACTGTTGGAAAGAGACCCACCAGCAGCCGCCTTATAGCTACAACCATCCATAGCTCTCAAAACTCTACCTCTTTCTTCATGATTCACAAGCTTTCTTGTTCCCTTTTCTAATCCCAGTTTTTCCAAAAACTCATCATCAACAATGCCAGAAAAGTCCACCTAGAAAGATATCAGAAGAAATGCAAGAATTAGTTTAAATCTTTGCATACCAGCTTCACATCGTCGAAGTAAAGGTCAGAGCTACTCTACAATTTCGTGCCAATCAATGTTTATTCTTTTCCCTTCCTTTGTACAAACAAACATGATAGTAGAACCTCTACATAGCTCAGTTTAGTGATACAACTTATTCAAGGAAAATGATTGTATGATCTGAAGAATCATTTTAATTCCAGTAGGAACTTGAACAGCATGAGTTATAACTCGCTTGGCTATCAAATAAAGACAAGACTTAAAATTCAGCTGACCTATTTGGCCTAGTCGGGTAAGCTTGTTTGCTTTAAAACAGATTGAAATTATCATCATGTTCCTTATTCTTTTCTTAAAAGAAATTTGTCATATATCAATTATCAAACAAAGAGGGGCTATACAAGAAAAATAAAAAGAAATTCGTAGTGTGGCATAAAAGGAACAGAAAACAAAGATGAACTGGTAATATTGAAGCAAGCAAGCAGTCAAGCAGAAAACTGGAAATACAATTAAAATTACCATGGCTTGTCCAAGACCCAAAACGTCCCATCTCTCAGGCAAAAGAGAAGACCCAAAATCTCTCCCTGCTTCTTCTTCTTCTACTATTAAGTCGTCGTCGTCGTCGTCTTCTTCTTCTTCTTCCTCATCAGCAGCACTCTTATCTTGTTCATCATCAGCGCCGCTCCCAGTCTCAAATTGAGCACCTGTATCACCTCTAAAGCTACAGCAGGAAGACGCCCTGAGAAACCCATGTGGCCCTCTCGTCATGGAAGCACTGCTTAGCCTCTTTGCGGCGGGTGGGTGATGGAGAAAAGCAAAGGCAGAGGCAGAACTGGTGGAGGTAATGCTATTACTCTGACCATGTGGATGTGGTAGAGGAAAAGGAGAGGTAGTTGGTGGGTATAAGAAGAAAGAAATGCGAGGGAAAGTAGGAGAATAGAGCGGTGGAGAGGAGACATGGGGCGGACTGGTGGTGGCGATTTTGTGGGGAGGAGAAGAGATAGGACCAACGACAAACGAGCAGGTGTGAGACATGCTCGCGAGAGCCTCTTTTCTTCTCTTCTCTCAATCTCTCTGCCTCTCTATCTTCAGCTTCTTTTTCATTCATTCAATCAAATCAATCTTCAACTTTCTTCACACTTTATTTTCCATTCATGTTCTAATTAATTAAAAGGGAATTAATTTAATTGGGCTTGGTTCTATAGGATTCAAGTTAGATGAGTCAATAGGATGCCAAGTAGCAACTTTGTTATTTGGGCTTTGGCCCAAGAACCCATTGATAATCCCTTATGGTAAAGATACTGTACCCACCACGCGTCGCTGTCTGATAGGTCCACGTAAACAAAATAACATAATTGCGGTTGTCCAGTTCATCTCTCTCTCTGTCCTCTCCCTTCTCTAATTCATCTCTTTCCTGCGTGCGTCCTCAGTCCTGACGAAGCCACACAGATACAGACACAGACACAGAGGTAAGCCCGATCTGGTTTCTCCATTTGTAGCTTCTACTTCTCTTTTTCTTCCATTCAATGAAAGTGAAGTGAATCTGAGTTGTGGGTTGTGGAGCCTGATCTGGTTTCTTCATCTGTAGGTACTCGAATTGGTGAAATTGGGAGATATTTTGGACTTGTTTTTGTGTTATCAGAGCAGCAATGGACCATGCTGAGCTCACCACCGAACAGGTTGGTTTCATTTGAATTTGAATTTGAATTGGGGATGATGCTGTTTGATTGTTTGGAATTTGCCTCTTCTCCCTTTCCATGGGAATTACATTTCGTAAATCTGAATATTCATTCTTGTCCCACTTTCCTTCCTTTATCAAGGTTTTGAAAAGGGACATCCCTTGGGAGACATACATGACCACTAAGCTCATCACTGGAACATGCCTTCAGCTGTTAAGGCGTTACGATAAAAGATCCGAGAGTCACAGATCACAGTTGCTCGATGATGTAATTCCTCCTGCTCTTTATCATATTTACAACTTTATGCCCTCCTCCTCTTTGTATCTTATGCTTCAGCTCAAACACATTTTGATTTGTACATTCATCCCAAACCATAATGCTGTGTGCTGCCTTCTTATAATGCTTCACCTTAATCTTAGTGGAGATATCATCTGAATTGTCTGATAAGAGTGATTTCTTTTTCTTTTTCTTTTTCTTCGGCTGTGTATCTCACAATGAAATTGACAAGGTGTTCAAATGTGGCAGGACGGCCCTGCCTATGTTCAAGTGTTTGTTGGCATTTTACGTGATATTTTCAAGGAAGAAACAGTAGAATATGTCCTTGCTTTAATTGATGAAATGCTTGCAGGTAATTGGAAGATTTTCTGGCTTTCTGATTGCACACCCATTGGCAAAACAAAAACTAAACGTAACCTTTTTCTTTCCTTTTGTCCCAGCTAACCCAAAAAGAGCAAGATTGTTCCATGATGGTACTATTGTCGATAAAGATATTTATGAGCCTTTCTTGAGGTCAGCACTGATTCTACAATTCAGTGATACAAGTAATATTTTTATCTATGCAAAAACAAACAAACAAACCATTGAGTTTCTTTTCAGGTTGCTTTGGAAGGGTAATTGGTTCATACAAGAGAAGAGCTGTAAGATACTTGCTCTAATAGTGAGGTACTCATACATGATGCATTTCAAAAGTGAAATACAAATAACCAAGGAATCAACTAAGCACAGTTTCTTGTGTGGTCTCCATCTTAAACTTTTATTAACGGCATTTATTTTCGTTATTGTTTTCTATTTTAATACAGTGCCAGGCCAAAACCCCAAGATGGCACTGTTGCAAATGGAGAAGCCTCAAATTCAAAGAGAAAAATTACTACTATTGATGATGTGTTGAAAGGATTGGTGGAATGGCTTTGTGCACAGGTATGCTTTCAGCTTTTGATTATAAGTTCTACCGAATGCAACTGGGTGCCTTTCTCTTTTTCAATGCCTGGAAATGGAGTCTTTTAGTAGTTGTTGAATAGGTGTTAACACATCTCAAAGGGGTAATGCACCGGAAACCTAATCACTCCTTAATATTAGAGGAGATGCCATTTGGCGCAAAGGTGATTGGCGTACGGAATGTCTCCATCATACTGCTAATGTTCTAGTTTCAAAGATGCATCTATCACTGGGCCTTGTCAACTAAACCATTTATCATGAGCTTGTAATTGGGAAAGTTCAATTATACTCCATGGCCATTGGCCACCTTGATGAGATGCACACACTTGTTCTTTTCTAGCTCCTTGGAAATGAAAGCATTATTTTTGACATTTCAAATTTCAAAATGCAGAATGTGTAATCATGGAACTCCTGTTCTGAGATCGTGCTTTGCGAAAATTAGGAAATTAAGTCTGCAGAAAAATATCTTATTGTGTGTGTTATTATGGAAAAGAAATAACATTTATCCCTTGGCTTTGATGTGTGACCTTGTTTAGAAATGCTTTACTGTATTACAGTTGTGTGGTGCATATTTTGTCCTTCTCTTATTAGTCCTCAAGTTCAATCAGTTATTGATGATATCACAGTTATCACTTGGTGGTTTTTAGTTTGGATGATATTGGTTGTCAGAGTATTTTTCTGATGGTAGATGTATTTTCCAGCTGAAGAAGCCTTCCCATCCTAGTCGCGGCATCCCAACTGCTGTCAATTGCCTTGCAACCTTATTAAAGGAACCTGTGGTTAGATCTTCCTTTGTTCAATTAGATGGGGTGAAGTTGCTTGTTCCCTTAATTTCTCCAGCTTCCACCCAACAATCTATTCAGGTAACCTTTTTTTTGTACTTTGGACATCTAACAAGAAAGAAAAAAAATATGTTTACACCCAAGCTAAACACCCCATTCCTGTCAGTTGACAGGCTAAATAATCACCTACAAGCTTTGAGTTATGGAACTAATAACTAACTTCCATATTCGTTTCTTGACTTTTTTATTTTTATATTGACAATAGATTGTGTTTGAAACAGCTTCTTTATGAAACATGTCTATGTATCTGGCTCCTATCCTATTATGAACCTGCAATTGAGTACTTGGCTACTTCTAGAACTCTTCCACGACTCATAGAAGTTGTCAAGAGTTCCACAAAGGAAAAGGTGAGGATCTTGTCCATTTGGATGCTAAATATTTTCATAGCAAGAGTAATTTGTGTGTATCTTGATTCCTTCTCTAATAAGTTTGCCTCTTTCCACATTTTTTATTCTTCTGATATTGATCATCCATGGGGAACAAACGTGACACCATCCATATTCGTCCATGATATGAGTAATGTTTGTCTTTGTATCAGAGGAGTACATGTTAAATGCATCTTTTATTGGTAATATGGATTTGCTTATTCCTGGTAGGTTGTCAGAGTTGTTGTTTTGACCCTGAGGAACTTGCTCTCCAAAGGGACGTTTGGTGCTCAAATGGTGGACCTTGGACTGCCACAAATTGTTCAGAGTTTGAAAGCACAAGCATGGAGTGATGAGGTGAGAAATTTTAAGACCCTGCTTTTTTTGATAGTTTGCATTTTATTTTTTCAGACCCAGTTTTATGTTTCCTCTTCTTTTGGGCCGCTCGGTTACACCAAGTTAAATTATGGGGCATTGTAACTATTGTTGATTTTCTGCATTTGTTATTTTAAACTATAGATCATCGGTTATGTTTTTTTTCTAACTAATTGAAGTTTCTCATAGGATCTCCTGGAGGGATTAAATCAACTGGAAGAGGGTCTGAAGGATAACATCAAGAAACTGAGTTCTTTTGATAAGTATAAGCAAGAAGTCCTCCTTGGCCATCTTGACTGGTCACCCATGCACAAGGATCCAATATTCTGGCGTGAGAATATTACCAATTTTGAAGAGAATGATTTTCAGGTACTTTTTTGTTGTTTGCCCAAGATTTCAATTAGATTATTTGCTTAACAGTTGTGTTGCATAGTTTGTTTATTGGTCTAGTGTTCTTAGTCAATTCAGTGGGACTGAAAAGATCCTTAAAATTATTTGGGCATGCCAAAAGATGTGTCTCCCATGTTTTGTTGGCATCAGTGCCAGTGGGGCCCCTTTCATGAGTCCTAAGATTTTGCTAATACTTGGTAGTAGATACTCTTGAGTGTGCATCCGAAGACACTCGTTAATGCTATAAGGGATTTTGGTTACTGGACTACTCAAGGTGGGCCTAGTGTTATACTTATTTGTGTTTTCCTGTAGCTCTGTTTTTGCAAGACAGCCGTGGCTTCCATGGAAAAGTGGTAGTAAATTTGGTCTTGTGATATAGCATCCTTGTACTTTTTCACTATTGCCTTGTTCGTAGAGCTAAAAGCAGCATTGAATTGAATTATTGTGGTAATTTACTGATACTAAAATTGATTGCAGATGTGAACGTGCTTGAATGATCTTTTGAAAAAACTTGTGGCTTCCTTGACACTAATAATGCATGATTTCCTCTTGCAGATTCTAAGAGTCTTGATTACTATTTTGGACACATCCAGTGATCCTAGGGCTTTGGCTGTTGCCTGCTTTGATATCTCACAGTTTGTCCAGCAGCATCCGGCTGGAAGAATCATAGTGACGGACCTCAAGGCCAAGGAACGTGTGATGAAACTGATGAATCATGAGAATGCCGAGGTTACGAAAAATGCATTACTATGTATCCAGAGGCTTTTCCTAGGTGCCAAGTATGCGAGCTTTTTGCAGGCTTAGATCGTTTCAATGGTGGAGCAATGATGCTCCGAATGAGTTATAATCTTATTGTCCAAAAGTGTTGTTAATGAATGGGTGTGACTGTCATAGTAGTAGTAGTGATTTACATATTATTATTATTTCAGTAATTCATTTTATACGACTCTTGGTTATGAAACAACGTTTGGAAATTTGATTTGTTGCTATGTGTTAGCTGTGTAATATTATTCTTGCTATTGAGGTATGGAATAAAATAAATTATGTAATCCCATTGGTAAAAATAAAATATATATTTTGTGAGCCCTGTCATTGTCTATCAATCAGAATCTGTAGAGTGATGTTTGTTTTTGCTAAGATTTTCTCACCTTAACTTTTGCATAATGGGTTCATTGGACGATGTACATTGTGCGATAGATCAATCAATCGCTCGACTATGAATCTCTTTTCTTCTTTTCATTTTTTAGAAAATGAGAAAACCATGGCGGCAAGGGGCTTTTAAGTCTAGTGATCGAGCATTTAATGATTAGAAGAAAACGAAGCATTTGCTTGCTAAAGGAAAAAATACAAAGATATGAAGCCGACGAATATGGAATAGTGTCGTCTCATTTTCTTGGTGAGTAGGTGAGTGACCCAGAAAAAGAAAAAGAACTAATCTAATCTAAACCCTTAATCTATTTATTAACGGGTCTCCAGTAGTCTCTCAATATTTTTGATTGCCTCAGAGAGAGAGAGAGAGATGGAGAAAAAGAGAGAGAGTGAGGAGGATAAGGGAAGGTTATGCAGGAGGTGCAAACAAAGCTACAGCCCTGCCTCCAACACCCCTTCCTCATGCCGCTTCCACCCTTCTTTTTTCGTCTGTCGCCGTCATGACGACCAGAAAAGGTCTCTCTCTCCTTCTCCAATTTATTGAGTTTCTTTTTACTATAATTTTAGTTGAATTTCGATTTTTTTATAAAACAAAGAGATGCCCATTTATTTAATCTGTGCTTCTGATTCCATGTGTTTATTTTGTTGCGTTTCGGGTAAAGATGTATCCGAATCCTCATGTCCTTTTCGTCCTAATTTCTTACAATGTTGGATTGCACCTTTTGAATGAGAAATTCATGTTTCTGGTTTAGTTAGTTCATCCCTGGTATGCTCACCAAAGCCAATTAAAAATATGGGTGAAGTGAAAGTATATATTTATCCAATTGGGCATTGATGTGGATATGAACAACTGTAAGCTGTTGCAGAAGTGTCTTGAGCCACTAAATTGATACATTTTTTCCGTGGTTGATGCTTATTATTCCTTATTGGTTCAAGGTACTATGAATTGGGACCCAAAGATCCGCCATACGCAGCCAAGTTCTATGACTGTTGTGGGGCTGAGGATCCTGAGGCATCCGGTTGCACTACCAGTTTCCATGTTTCATATGATGATGATTGATGTAATATTAATATGTCTCTTTCTTCATTTCAGTCTTGCACTGTAAAAATAAATCTCCAGTAATCTCCTCCATTATATATAGACTAATTTTGATATATAATTGGGTTTCTTAATGTCTTTGCATGTTTCATGAGAGTCGTAGGGTTGTATATAGTTTAGGCAAGTCAATTTTATTGCCGCTGCGCTGGCTAGTTGTGTTGTGAAATCAAGTTAGATAAGGCGTCACTATTCTATGATGAAACTGCCGAAAAAATGTGACAACTTTCAGTTGAGAGATTTGGCCCAGATGATATCAGCAGCAGCATCATGATGTGGCTGTGTATCAGGATTCAGGAGAGAGAGAGAGAGAGAGAGAGAGAGAGAGAGAGAGAGAGAGAGAGAGAGAGAGAGAGAGAGAGAGAGAGAGAGAGAGAGAGAGAGAGAGAGAGAGAGAGAGAGAGAGAGAGAGAGAGAGAGAGAGAGAGAGAGAGAGAGAGAGAGAGAGAGAGAGAGAGAGAGAGAGAGAGAGAGAGAGAGAGAGAGAGAGAGAGAGAGAGAGAGAGAGAGAGAGAGAGAGAGAGAGAGAGAGAGAGAGAGAGAGAGAGAGAGAGAGAGAGAGAGAGAGAGAGAGAGAGAGAGAGAGAGAGAGAGAGAGAGAGAGAGAGAGAGAGAGAGAGAGAGAGAGAGAGAGAGAGAGAGAGAGAGAGAGAGAGAGAGAGAGAGAGAGAGAGAGAGAGAGAGAGAGAGAGAGAGAGAGAGAGAGAGAGAGAGAGAGAGAGAGAGAGAGAGAGAGAGAGAGAGAGAGAGAGAGAGAGAGAGAGAGAGAGAGAGAGAGAGAGAGAGAGAGAGAGAGAGAGAGAGAGAGAGAGAGAGAGAGAGAGAGAGAGAGAGAGAGAGAGAGAGAGTGTATGATTATAAATCTCTTTGATCATATTATGCCTTTCTCAATTCTCATGAAAAAGGCATATGATTTCTTGAAACATGACATGTGGTGGTTAAAGTTAAAGCAGCTAGCCTCGGCCTTCTATTCTATTATTATAAATAATTGCAGAGCTCAGCTCGGGAAATCTGTGGAGAGCTGGCTGCTGGTTATCCAGTCTCAGGAGCCCAAGGCTTTAGGTTACGCTGGCAATGGCATATGCAGTAGACAAGTAGAGCTCGCCATCCACGCCCAGAGATCAATTAACCAACGCATTCAAGATCACTTGCCATTCCCTTTTTTATTATTATTATTATTAATCAGTCTGTAAACCTATATTTATTATATATGATGATTAAAAAAGTTGTTAAGCTATTAATTTAATAGATAGCAGCCAACCTCCCTTTCTCACGTCTGTGTATTGGTTGGTTCTCCTTCTTGAATCAATAATCAATATTAAAATTCAATATTCCCTCTTTTTATTGCAAATAAAACTAACCCCAGTCTGTACTCTGTATCTATTATTGAGTTTGCCACAAGAAACTCTTTACACTCACTCCACACAGCATTTGTATATTTTCTCCGTTTAATTTGTAGTTTTATTTTGGTCAAACTCGATCCACGGGTAATTTATTATTAAGTCAACATAACAACGAATTGAAAGCTATATATGTATATGTATTAACTGGCATGCTTGTGTATCTGTCTGTGGATTGTATTTGGTTGCCAGGATTGTATGTATATGTACATATACAATATAAATAAACCATACACCATTTAATTTTTATAAATAAATCTAAAAAATGACAATTATTCCTATTGAATTTATTTTTAATTATTAAATTACGTTGATGCCCTATTGAGTATTTTGGATTTTTTAATGAGGTTTTGGGGTTAGGTTTATTTTAAGAAATCAATGGCAGTTTTGTAATTTAAAAGAAGTTAAAAGTTTTTTTGTTATATTGTAAATGGATTTTGGGTGTGTTTCTAATGTTTATTTCATATAAGATTTTTTTTATAATTTGAACTCCTATATTAAGTATAATAGTGAATCTCCTTTTTTTAAAAAAAAAAGTGTTGCGGTGAAACAACAATCTCACCGCTTCCTCAACTTGCATTCAAGTCAAGGGAAGAAAGGGCAAAACCCCAAAATAATATTTAGAGGTCCATTTGTATGTACGGTTATATTCAATTATTTGTTATCTGATTGAGAGTAACATGAGTCTCTGAATTTGTATGCAAGACATGAGGCACTGAGGCACGGCAACCAGTAGCGGGATATAATTGATCAACGTTTCTAAAGGTGACATCTCACCTAATTAATACAATCTAAATCTAAATCTAATGATAATTCCTTTCCTTTCCAATCAAATTTGGCTCACCAAGAAGAACTAATCAAGGTTTGTTGTTTGCTTGCTAGCAGCTTCCCACCATACACATAAAATAAAAGCCTAAAAAAGGAGCTCCCCAGTTGAGTTTAATCAAATATTAATTGTTTGTTACTTCATGTAATCTAAACAGTTAATGATGAAAACCCATTAATAATTTGTTTTGAGTTTTCTTTCTCTCTCCAACATTTTTATGAGTTTGGTCTCAAGCTCTGATAAAGCTCTGTTAGTGCATCTCCATAAAATGAGTTTCTAAGTTCAAATTTAAATCGAATCTCAAACAACTCAACTTCAGCTATCTTCCTTATTCAACTTGTAAAATAAACATCTCTCGAAACTCTTAAACATGAAGAAATAAAAACGGACTTGTAGTTATAAATATAGTTTTTTTTTTTTTTTGGGGTTTGAATAGTTATAAATATAGTTTTTTTTTTTTTTTGGGGTTTGAATAGTTATAAATATAGTTAAACACCAAAATTTACCCCTTAAATGGGACATAAAAAGTCAATGTCTTGGACCGTAAATTAGATCAAAATAACTTTTAAGAAACAAAGTAAAATTGGGGACATTTTTAGGACGGGATTTACAAATAATTATGACGACTCATTTTCCCTTTACCGAAAAGCAGGGCCAGCAGCAGCAGCAGCAATGGTAGACTGGACAGGTCTTTGACTCTTTGGCTTAGTCTCATGCATTTGGTAATGTGTGTGTGTGCTTGACAGGTTAAAAGGAAAAAGGCAAGAAATACTAGGGGTACTTTTGTCTATTCACGAGCTCTCGTTCCTAAAATACAGACACTCCCTCTGTAAGAAAGAAACAAGTAAAAAAGAGAGTACAAAGTACATGTAGTAATACCAGAAGAAGCTGAGTTGTGCAGTGTGTGTGGCCATTTGAGAGACAAGAAAACCAACCCAAATACTTTTTGTTCGTTCCTTCTTCTGTAAATTCCTTGTTTTGGTTTATCTTCAACTTCATCTCCTTTTATTTAGTTTATGCTCCTTTTTCTTTTTATTTTTATTTTTATTTTTATTCTTTTAACAAAATAAAAGGAAGGAATTATAGCAACATGTTATCTGTCATCTAAAAACTTTGTTGCATATTACATTTTCACTTACAATGGCAGCATCTTTAGATCTTAGACAGCTGCCCAACCCCATCTCACAACAATAACACTCACACAAATTTCCTACCTAGTGCTCCACTACCACTTCCACTTCCACTTTCTTCAACCACCACCATGTCTTCCAAGTCCAAGTAAGTTCTCCTTCTCTCTCATCCCCTACCTTCCTCTCTCTATCTCTTTCTCCGGCACTGTGCCGCCGCCGGGATGAGAGAGAGGAAGATCAGATTTCGTTCTTCCTATTCTCTGTCTCCATAGATTCTACAAATGTATGAAAATTTTCAATTTGGGATTTTGTTGTCGGTTTCCTAATTAGTGCGTGCGAGGGATCTGCTTTTATCATCTCCTCTCTACTAGGTTTTTTTTTCCTGATATTTTCTCTAACTTATTTTCTTTCGTCGGTTCTGATTCTGAATTTATTTTTTTGCAAACGGGTTTTACTTGTTTTTTCTTGATTCTTGATTCTGATATGAGTTATTCATTCAATTCTTAGATTTTGATCTTTATTTTCGTTGGATCTGTTCTTGAACAATTTTGTCACATATTATTCATATATATCTCTTTCTCATTCTGTGTTTAGTTGTCTTGTCTGGGCTTTTTCTCTTGATAAATTTCCAATTTTGTGCCAGATCCATCATCCTTTGGACCCCTGTTTGATTTTTTGTTCAGGGGTTGTGTTGTGCTCATACATATACATATATATTATATAATGTCTGCATTGTTTTGCTTGATGTAATATGGATATGTTGCTGACAGTTTGAAGTTGAACAGATCTGCTATTATATCTGAAACTCCTAAAAAAGCATCACCAGCAACCCCTCGAGTTAGTAAACTGAGCAGGGGAGTCGCTAAGTCAGATTCCGATTCACCCTCTCCTTTGCAGAATTCTCGCCTTTCACTTGATCGCTCCCCAAAGACCACCTCTGTCAACTCCAAGCCCACAGTTGACCGCCGCTCACCAAAGATCACTACCCCACCTGAAGTGAGTTTTAGCAACTACACTTGTATTCTACTGCTTTATTTTTATTTTTATGTTTTACTTATTATTTTTTTCTTTTCCGGTGACACTTGTAGTGCTTCAGTCATTTACTTCCTTACAAATTGTTTTAGTCTGCTTTGGACAGAAAATTGAAAATGAAATTCTACCATAGATATTAATGATGCTTTAGAAATATAATACTAGCTATTGGAGATGGATTTTGAACTTTTTATTTCATTTTCCCTTTTCTGATTCTTTCTTGAAAAGGAACCAAGTGTCTCTCACGTCATAGGCTTATAGTAACGTGAATTGTGATCTACAATTGTTAATTTATAATATTTCCAGAAACAACCAACACGCGTTGCAAAGGGATCAGAAATACAGGCTCAATTAATTCTCGTTCAGGAAGATCTAAAGAAAGCAAAGGAGCAGATACTTTTGATTGAGAAAGAGAAGGCAAAAGCAATTGATGAATTGAAAGATGCACAGAAAGTGGCCGATGAGGCACATGAGAAGCTCAGAGAGGCTTTGGTGGCTCAAAAGCGAGCTGAGGAGAATTCTGAAATTGAGAAGTTTCGTGCCGTTGAGCTGGAGCAGGCAGGAATTGAAGCATCCCAAAAGAAGGAAGAGGAATGGGAGAAAGAGCTTGAAGCTGTGAGGAACCAACATGCTCTGGATGTGGCCACTCTACTCTCTACCACTCAGGAACTTCAAAGGTTGAAGCAAGAACTGAGCATGACCTGTGATGCAAAAAACCAGGCACTGATTCATGCTGATGATGCAACTAAGATTGCTGAGATTCATGCCAAGAAGGTGGAGATTCTCTCGGCTGAGTTGACTCAATTGAAGGCCTTGCTAGATTCAAAGCTTGAAACAGAGGCTAGCGAAAACAGCCAGATGGTGCAAAACCTTAAATCAGAGGTAGACTCTCTCAAACAAGAACTTGAGAAAGCAAAAGGTTATGAGGAGAGATTGATAGAGAAAGAGGCTTCCATTGAACAGCTCAGCGTCGAGCTAGAATCAGCCAAGATGGCTGAATCCTATGCACGTAGTATAGTTGAGGAGTGGAAAAATAGGGTTGAGGAATTAGAGATGCAGGTTGAGGAAGCAAATAAGTTGGAGAGGTCTGCATCAGAGTCTTTAGATTCGGTCATGAAACAACTTGAGGGAAACAGTGAGTTATTGCATGATGCAGAATCTGAAATTTCTGCTCTTAAAGAGAAGGTGAGCTTGCTGGAAATTACAATTGGAAGACATAGAGGGGATCTTGAGGACTCAGAACGTTGCCTTGATATGGCCAAGGAAGAAAATTATGAAATGGGACAAATGATTGAGTCACTTAAGTCGGAGCTTGAAACTCTGAAGGAGGAGAAAATCCAGGCTTTAAGCAATGAGAAGCTTGCAGCATCCAGTGTTCAAACCCTATTAGAAGAGAAAAATAAACTCATAAATGAGTTGGAAAATTCCAGGGATGAAGAAGAGAAGAGCAAGAAAGCAATGGAAAGCTTAGCTTCAGCTTTACATGAAGTGTCCGGAGAAGCAAGAGAAGCCAAAGAAAAGCTGCTAACTAGACAAGCTGAGCATGATAATAATGAGTCCCAGCTAGAAGACCTGAAAATGGTCTTGAAAGGAACCAACGAAAAGTATGAAGCAATGCTTGATGATGCAAAACATGAAATTGATATTCTTACAAGTAACCTAGAACAATGCAAGACTGAGTTCCACAACGCAAAGGCTGACTGGGAGCAGAAAGAACTTCACCTGGTGAATTGTGTAAAGCATTCAGAAGAAGAAAACTCTTCTAGGGAAAAAGAAATAAACAGGCTGCAAAATTTACTCAAAGAAACTAATGAAGAAGCTTGGGCTTTGAAGGACGAAGAAGCCCAATTGAAAGAGAGCCTGAAGGAAGTTGAATCTGAAGTTATCTGTTTGCAGGAAGCTCTTGCAGAAGCAAAGGCTGAGAACATGAAATTAAAGGAAAGCGTATTGGACAAAGAAAATGAGTTCCAATGTATTGTTCAAGAGAATGAGGAGCTCCGAGACAAGGAGGCTGCTTCTCATACAAAGGTTGAGGAGTTGTCTAAGTTACTTGATGAAGCTGTGGCCAAGAAGCAAGCCGAGGAAAATGGTGAGCTAACAGATAGTGAGAAGGACTATGATTTGCTTCCAAAGGTAGTTGAATTTTCTGAAGAGAATGGGCATGGAAGAGAGGAGAAACCCAAAATGGAGCTTCAACCAAATCAATGTGAGGAACCCAAGAGGGAAAATTCATGGCAAGAGAATAATAATGTCATGAATGACAAGGCCGAACAAGTGGATTTTGCTTTAGTTGATACTCTGAATGGGAAACCAAAAGAAGATGAGAGCAAAGAGAAAGAGGATGACTCTGTAGAAGTTGAATATAAGATGTGGGAGAGCTGCAAGATTGAAAAGAAAGAATTCTCGCCGGAGAGGGAACAAGAGCAGGAATCCTTTGAAGAGGAAGTGGACTCAAAGGTGGGGGGTGGTGAGGAGGGGTTGGATCAGATTAATGGAGTTGCTTCAACTGAAAGCATTGATGATGGCAGAATCTCTCCATCAAAGCAGCAGCAGCAACAGAAGAAGAAGAAGCCTTTACTCCGCAAGTTTGGAAGTCTACTCAAGAAGAAGAGCACAAGCAACCAGAAGTAGAGAGACCAGTTTTGCCCGACTTGTGCCCAACTAGGAGGCAGGCAGGCAGGCAGGTTTACCGGATATTGTTTTGCACCTAAATGTGTTTGATTTTCTATTTTTTGGAGTCTGGCTTTCAGAATAGGCTAAAAAAGAAGAGGTTTGTATTATGGTTAGGGTTTTTATTTTTATTTTTTAAATTGTGATTTCCTATCTGGGCAGTATCTTGTATGTGATGGAGATTTTTATTTTCCCCTTCATTTCTCCATTCCTTTCCCCATCCAATTTAGATCTTATTAAAAGGAGTGGTGACATGAGCTTGTATCTTGATGTGCTTTCATCTATTTCAAATGGGATGTATAAATATATCATTGTTCTTTGTAGTTTGCATCTTCAAGGCAAAGGAGCCGCCAAAAAAAAATGGCACTTACTTTTCATGGACCGGGTTGCTGCTGCTGCAGCTTGTAATTCCAAGTGGGCCAGCCCAAACCTCAAAATCAAGCAAAGAATAAAGCAATCCTCTATGAAGAAAAAATAGAAAAGAAGAAAAGAAAAGAAAAGAAAGGAAAAAAGAGCGCGTTAAGCAAGCATCTCTCTCTCCGGCTCCTTGGTGGGTCGGTCCTACACAATTAATTACCACGTTAGTCCTTTTCTTTTTTTTCTAACTAAGAGGAAGGAGAGTTGAGAGTAGATGGCGTTGGCTGCAGATTCATACTTTTGATTCTTCCTTCACTAAAATCAGATAAACAAGGACTGAAAAATACATATATATTAAAGATTTTCTATTTAAACTCCGTACTTCTCTTTGTTCACTCCAATACTTAAATTATTAAGCTGTAAGTTTTATTATTATGTAAAAAGACAAAAAAGGTCATCCAACTTAATACTCAAACCTAATAGATCTATACACAAACTCCACACACCTCACCACTCTTCATATTAAGTTTTAGAAAAATGACAATGCTTGGCTTCTGATAAATCAGGAGCCATTCCTCCTCAACACCTTATGTGGCCTCCTTAAAAATCGACACATGTTTTTTGGTTTTTTTCACCGACTCTCCCTCTTTCTCTTCTCACCCACTCTCCTCTCCTCCCCCAACTCTCTCTTCTCTCATCTCCTTTCTCTTCCCATCGTTGCCATCTTCCATCCTCGACATCAACGTCGACCACTGTCATCCATCTCCGCGTCACCTCCCCTCCCCCTCCCCCATTCCCCGTTCTCTCTCCAATCACCCCTCCTCCATCATCATCGTCATCACCACCCAATCACTCATCCTCCATCATCATCACCCAAACACTATATCTTGATTTCTCTCCTTTTTAATTTTTAATTTAATTTAGTTATTTATTGGGAAGTTCTAAAATTTTTAGCAATGGTGGAAGATTCCAGGGTACAACTTGGGGGAGAAAAATTTTCTCTTGTGCCACTCTCTCTACTCTAGATCTGAGTTGTAGGGAAAGAGATGGAGTGATGGAAAGATGAGATAAGAGAGAGCACGGGAGGAGAGGAGAGGTGAGTGGGTGAGAAGAGGGAGAAAGAAAGAGTAAGTGAGGAAAAATAAAAAAATTAAAATTAAAATAAAATAATTATTATTAAAAAAAACATGTGTCGATTTTTAAGGATGCCACATAAGGTGTTGAGGAGGAATGGCTCCTGATATATCAAGAGCCAAGCATTGTCCTTAGAAAAATACAAATTCCTCTACATCCTATTGTTGGATTACTCTTTTCTTTAAAGACGTAAAACGTTGAGGAGCTTACCTCTTTAAATTCTGCATGGGGGTTGATAGAAAGGCTTGTTGATTGCTTGGCTGTAATGATCTTATTCTCTTCCCTTTGTTGATTGCTTGGTTGTTCTGATTTTTTATTTAAAATTTTATATTGACTTAACTTCTTATATGCTCAAAAGTAAACAATAAATGATTACTGTAGCTTTGTGTAAGTGAAATTTGTTCTTGCCGAGATAAGTTGCACCTTCTTGTCTACAATGCAAATAAATATCTCCTCATTTAATTTCTAACTTAGAAATCTTTATTTGGTCTAGGATCTCTTTCCATTGATAGTGAACGATATACTGTAATAGTTAGCGAGTCTATCTATCTTGCGGCAAGCACATGAACCTTCATCTTCTTCTCAAAAAATAGGGGCATTCTTCATTTTTTCCCCCGCTATTCAATTTAGATATATGCTTTTTTATATAGTTTGTAGGAGGAAGATAGTGGGAGTTTAAATAGAAAAACTCTTTTATTTTTTATTTTTTCAACTTGGGGTGTATTTAAGGGTAGTTTGGGAAGATGGTGGGGTTTTCTTAGAAATTGTGAAAATTTAAATTAGAAGTTGGGGTGAACTTAAAGGAGAGAGTTCAGTTTCCCCGTTTCCATTTCTCCTGTTCCCACCTGTTTCTTTCTTATTTTATTGACATGTGTCCTCTAACTTAACAGAAGGTTAACTCTGTTAAGTGTCATTTTTATTAACAAAATATTAAATGTTAAAATAAATTTATTCAAAAGCACGGTCATTTCATCTTCTCCGGCACCCACTACCACCCCCAGGCAGCGATGGCAACATATCCAAATCCACATCTATGCCTTCATCTTTTATGGTCCCTTCATTTCAACAAACATGCACTCTTTTCCCCTTCCTTTGCCTCTACATTCCCAGGGTGGAGGGATATCCCATTTTTTAAGTAATAGAAAACTCTTGTTTTCTGATGTGTGAGTGAGGATTGAAAATTGAAAGTTGTTCTTCGCATGTCCCACAAATATTCTTCATGGCCTAGCTATTCCCAAATCAATGCAATCCAAAGACAACAACGTCTCCATGAAGAATATTGACAATTGTGTGGTGCAACATATTTATAGAGAAAAGAACTGTGTGGCTGATTGTCTTGCCTCTTGGAGCTACAATGTGGACCTGGGATTTTATGCCTTTGCGACTCCTCCTGTTTGGGTGAGCTTTGGGTGAGCTCTATATTGGCTGATGATGTCTCAAGGGTGACTAGAACTCAGCTAGTCTGTCCTGTTTAGGCTTGTTGTTTGTCTCAAGGGTAACGCCTCCATGATCGCATCTATAAAAATAAAAAGGGATCGTCGCTACTAGGGTGGGGTGGTTGTGGTGGGTGGAGGTTGAGGTTCGGGGGGTGGCTGCTGCGTTTTATCTTTTACTTCAATTTTGAGTTTTTTTATTTATAAATAATTTGATTCAAAGTTAACAGTGTTTTGTGGCATGTTAAGTGAGGACACATGTCAATAAAATAAGAAAGAAACATGTGGGAACAGGAGAAATGGAAACAGGAAAATTGAACTCGAACTTAGAATATGGGGTGAACAAAGAGAAGTGTGAGGTTTAAATAAAAAATCTCTATATATTATATATTTACCCGAAGAAATTTACAAGTACTCTTTGAAATATTGGATTAGTCAAATCCAGAGAGTATCATCAAGGAAAAAGGAGGATGTGGTTAGAGATCATCTGCGGTCTGATAATATACAGGTTGTACAGGTGCTTCTTCTCCGACGACGACGACGTTTTGGACGTGGAGACCTCTGATTCTAAGGCTCTCTTCTCCGTCGGCGAGAGGCTTGTCAAGCTTTATGGCGGCAAGGTCTATGCGGGCCTCCGGATTCCCGATGCTGATACCGCTACCCCTCAGAATATCGATTTGGTTCTCGTCTCCAAAGGGTAGTCTATCAACATCCTTCTCTTTCTCCTTTTATTTTATGCCTTTTTTTCTAATTAGATTAGACGATAAAATCCTCACCAATCTGTTGCTTGTTCCTGCTTTTGTTGGTTTGTTTTTCAATCAAAATAAAAAATAAAAAATAAAAAATCAAAGGGAGGCAGTGGTGATAGCCGTCAAGAATTTCTCAGGATTGATCTCAGTCAATCCAGATGGCAGCTGGGTTTGTGAGGGCTACAGTAAACACAAAACGGAGCACCATCCTGATCCTGTAAGTCTTACTCCTAGCATGTTCATGTTCATTGCTTTTGCTGCCTACTCAGATAGTGTGATGCTCACTTATTTTTCCACTCACAAATTCATGACTTATCCAATGCACGCACACTATACATTCTCGATTCCTTTTCTGTATAGATTTCATTTTCGTAGACATCACATGGATATTCTCGATACACTTCTATTTGGTTTTCCAGATCATGCACTACTACATTTACAGTCATATCTATGAGGGGGCAAAGAAAAAAAAACACACAAAGGGAAATCGGGAACTTGGCCTTTCTTATGTCTCTTCAATTGTTATACCTTTCAGGTGGCGGAGACTAAAAAACAAGCTTCGATTCTTGAGTCATATCTAGAACAAAGAGGAGTTGCTTTACCAGAAGGATATTTGTCTTGCAAAGTAATACTTTCCAATCCTAAAGTTTGGTACGTTCTGGAGTTTTATCATGATTTGATTATTATAACTCTATACCCATTCAACTGATAGAAAATGGTGATGGTTTGTTCTGGTGTCTAGATAACCAGTGGATGTCTTGCGATTATCCCTCTCATCTTTTGGATGCAACATAAGATCTGTTCTTTGTTGCTCTTACTTATTCTTACTTGGACTTCTCAGTACAATTTCCATCCACATAGCTACTGCCCTGTTTTCTATTTTCATTCTTTTTTTTTTGCTTTGAATATTACTAGTGATCGTGATTGAGCATCATTGAGTTATCTGCGTAGAGTACTCTATGTACCATTTTGCAAAGCACATGCATCATTTCTTTTCTCTCCGCTGGTCTTCTCATCTTCAACTTATGTGCAACGGGATCTTCATTTAGCAATCGAGATATTCATAGAATCTATATTTGATGTTGTTCATAAGGCAGCCCATTGTCTTCTTTCCCCATTGGAGGATTTTAAAACACTATCAGAGCGAGGTGCTTGAGAGTTGTTGACATGTAGGAGTAGGATATATGTGGTTTAAAGGTCTTGACGTGTAAAGCTATGTATTGCAGATGGTCTTTAAGAAAAACATTTAGGGGGGATGTGGGATCTAATTGGTTCTGTTGTTACTAACATTTCTGCATTTGCTCACACATATTTTTTTTCTTGCAGTACCATTCAGTCAAGCAATTTTCCATCAGAAGTTGTAACCTATGACCAGTGGGTACAGCTGAAACCAGAACCAAAAAGTATGTTTTCTGGTTGGATTAAGGGTGCCTTCCGTGGTGGAAAGAAAGAGATGCAAGAATCTATACATCAGAAGCTTAATTTCATCCTTAGTACGGCCCCAATGTGGGATAGGTTCGTTGCCATCTTTACTTTGAATGGTTGCTACTTATGAGGCCTTGGTGAAGCCAACTCAGTTCTAATCTGACGTAAAATATTGATATACACAGTACACAGACACACACAGACACCCACACATACTTATATGTAGATATATGGGTAAGCCGATACATAGAAGTCATCTAACAAATCCACTACAAAGTCATCTAACTCTTCACTGAGATGAAGTCACTTGGGATTAGGCGCCTCCTCAACTATGCTGAGGGTAATTATTAAGCCATTCCTTTTCATACAAGTTGGAATCACAGGGAACTAGGCTGTTTGGTATACAATGAATTCATTTATGTGGATGCTGTTTAGTGTTTTTATTTCTTTGGTTCCTAGAGATAGCAGATTGTTTGCCACTTGAAAAAAAAAATATTGTTTCCTGATTGGCCTGCAGGTTGGAGCTCAAAGGTAATAAGTATGTTCTTGGGGAGTTTCTGGAATTTAAGGGTAAGCAGGAAGATGTCGAGGCTTTGAGAAATATCAAAAGATCAAAAATTAGCCGCCTTGTTGTCCAAAAGACGAGCATGCTTGGATTTGGTAATCCCCTGAGTTATAATCTTTCTCACTTTTTAGTATTACTTTAAGCTTAACTAGTACAAAATGATAAATGATGCATCCTGATTAGGTTGGGAACTTGGAATTTTATAATCGTTATAGTAGACATTGGATATATGTTAATAAATTGGCCCTCTTATTTTTGGCAGCCCCTTCAAGGCTTCAAGTTTTGTACTCTCCTCGTGATTATCGTAGCGAAGGAGCTTCAGCTTCTGAGTGGAAGGAAGTAAATGTAAGGTCGAGTACAGAGGTTCTCTTTCAGCCAGAAAGTTCTGATAAACTCCGCAAGTTTAAGCTCTCTTCGATTGTTTCTATGTCACTGAGTGCTTAAGGATTATTCCTGTTGAGATTATACATTGCACCACTGCGGGTTGCGACATGTAGTCTTAATTCTGTGTGAAAAATACCGAACCCACATGTTCAGGTACTTGCGGGTATCCTACTCATTATTTATTAATATTAATATTTGGCGGGGCGGATGGGTTTATCTAAAAAGTAGTTGTGTATGTCTTTCAGTTTTGTATACGCGGTGATGTAGATATGGAAACTGAATGACGAACATAAGATTACATGTAATATTACTATATTACTGTTTTGAAACTATTATGAATCATGGGTTAAGTTAAATTGTTAATAGGGGGGGCATTTTATCATGTGCAAATTGACGACGGAGAGTCCTCTTAATCTAAGATCTACAACAATTAAATTATCAGATAAAAAAATACAACAATTAAATTATCAGATAAAAAAATACAACAATTAAATTATCAGATAAAAAAATACAACAATTAAATTAATCATTCTTTTGGTATTGGGGTCAAAGCCTGAGGTAAAATAAACCTAAGCATACAAGATTTTGAAAAAGAAAAAGAGAGAGGCATAATCGGATTCAAATTAATTGTGGACTCGAAGACGACTGTCAAAGAACACCTTGAGTTTCTTCAGTTTGTTTGTTGCTCAACCTCTCTGTTGTGTCTTCCAACTGCAAACGTTTTAAGGGAAAATGTTTAAATCCATAACGTAACTGCAACGTGTTAATATCTTAGAACGAGAATTCCTCTGGCAAGTCTGGAAATTTGCTCAACAGGAAGCTCTTGTACTTTTCTTCAAGATCCCCCCCACCTGGGAACGATGTATTCCAATATTACCAGTTAAGTTTAACATTATATACCACATAATATATATATATATATATTCTTCCCCAATAACAAGGGGAGGACAATAAAGGGGTCACGAGGTTACTTTTAGCTCGAAATGGTGGGATGTTCTCGGACAACGTTGATTGCACCACCTTAACAAAATCCGAGCCTGATATATAAATATAGATATCAACAAATGGACTAAGTTGAATAAAATCTAAAAAAGCAAAGAGTAACAACATTTTTAAGTCTAGAAACTCTTTAGTTCACGTATAAGAAGATAAGCCACACAAACCCACAACAGGCAGGGAGAAGAAAGAAAGAAGAGAAAAAAACGATTTCTAGGATGCCAATGAAAACTGAGTAACTATATCAAGCGGCTCGCTCTCATGACCTATCCAACAGAGAGTTGAATTTGTCCCAATCTCTCTTACCATTTACATTATTTTCTCCTCCATCGACATTGAACAGGTAAGATGAGATCTGGTCATCTTTCAACTGCAGAACCATGCAGAAAGATAAATTGTTCACATAAATGATAAATGTATAACAAGATATTACCAAAGCATAATATTCAAGAAACAATTAGTTTTAGTATTGACCTTGGACAGAAACGCCTTAGCTAGTTCCAACGGGTCAATGGACCAAGTGCCTTTGTTGTATGCAGGTATGAACTTCCCATTCTGATAACCAGCCAAAAAGTGATAAGCTGCCTGGCCAGGGGAGAGCTTTGAAACAGAAGGGATAACACCAGAACTGCATTTACAGAGTAAGAAAAAAAAGAAAAAGATAAGGCAAGTTCTTTACACACAGGACACATTAGGAAAGAGTGGTAACATGAAAGGAAGCAGTGTGGATTATTCGGACAAATTACTGATATGCAACAACATACTCAGAAATGAACAGCGAGAACCAAACAAAACTTTTGACAGAAAAGAAAAGTACACCATAGAGGAAAAGTAAAAGTTCCAGTTGATGTCAAACACAAATTTGCAACTTCAGCTAACATTATCCTTCTTTAGACAGGTACAACCAATAGCCATTTGGAAGACAGAATCAATTCACGGTGTAGTGATATGCGCAGGGTAACAGTTGAGCCAGCACAGCCAAACCTATTCTAAACATGCCAAAAAGAATTCAAACGATTCACTATCACTACAGGGTTCTATTACCTGTCAGAAGATGCAAGGAATACAGAAGCTGGCAATGTGAATAGATTTGATCCACCAGTTTGAAACAAAAAGGCAAGACCTTTAGAAGAAAGAATTACACCTGCATCTGAAGGCACCAACAGATCTCTGCAACTCTTAAAGGTCCTTTTGGGTGCAAATAAAAGAACCACAGAATCACCAGACACTAGAAGCCTGAAAATTTGCAACCTCCCAGTGTAACTCACCCATGCCATACAAATAAAAACTACAATGCTCAACAAAAGAACAGAGAACTGTACCTTGCAGATAATGGAAGGCCTCCTCTTGCAAATATAACAGGCCCAGACAAGGCAGCTAGTGCTTCTTTAGTTGCATTTGAATCTGAGAACGCTTTACCACATAAAATAAGTGATGAGCGCTCAATATCAGCAGCTATGAATCCATCATTTTCTTTGGATCCAAGGCCAATACTTTCCCCAATGCCTGGACTGCACGATCAAAAGTACGAATTGGATAGGTATTTAGTTAGAGTAATAAATTTGACAAAACGATACAATCTGCTAAAGCTCTAGCAGCTAGAACATAAAAACAAAAACTAGTCCAGAGAGAATATCTCAGCAATTGACTGCATAAGAAATTCTTATGCATGTTGTAGTTGGCTGCACAAATAATTCGACAAGACACATATTAGGCAATGAAAATTTATTACCTTATAGAAGTAGCCACATAAACTGTTAAGGGACATGAATCGTGAGAAACTGCACGGGTGGGAGTCTCCCAGAGCATACGGGATAGTGACAGCATCGCAGACGGACTATCACTTATTAAACGAACTTTCGCATCACATTTTGGTGATGAGCCAATAGCCCCGTCATGAACAAAAATGTTTGAGATGGATGATATATGATTTGTGACCTGATAATATAAAATAAAAGACAGTATAATAAACATCATGGAGAAATAAACATGGTGGAAAATGTAAGGCGAGCAAGGAAATAGAAAGAAGAAAGAAGAAAGAAGAAAGGGAAAAATTCAAACGTGCCTGTTTTAAAAGTTTAGTGAAGTGTGGCTTGGAAATTTCAGAAGGTCCTCCTCCAGGGACATGTCCTCTAACAAGAAGTGGAAGCCCTGACAATGATTCTAAGAGGGAAACAAAAGGGGAATAAAAAGTTTAAGTAACTGAATCTGAATGTAACAACTGATATTAATTGATTGATACCAAACTGATAGGATGATAAAAAGTATGCCTGCAATTGTTGCACCCTTGTGTTGTAGTTGAGAGGAGTTCAAATTTAGAAAAGCTTGGTCCTTGACAATTACACCTTTTCCAGCCAAAGCCAAGTTAAGGCCATAAGAATAATCAATAACCCTCCCTGCAAAAAGGAAGATGGTAGTAGGCAATACCAAAAGTGGAATGTCTATGAGTTTGTGACAAATGATAGAAACATTGTGAGCTGAGGCATTGAGACATTGAGACATTGAGACATTGAGACGTTGAGGCATTGAGACATTATCACCTAGGAATTAGGAAAGGCAACTGTTTCACCTTCGTCTTGGGACACTGAGGCTGAAGCTGCAAACTTCTGCAAAGTTCAATAATCATTAGAACAAATGATGATATGAAAGGAGGTACCGTACCCCTCCCACTAAACTCGCACTATAGTTTCCAAACAATGAAATAACTGTAAGCTCTCAGCTCAGGAAAGCCATTCCCTTCCATTACGTAACAAGAAAAGAAGCAATAATAAATGAATTAAATAATACTGTGTGTAATACATGAAGAGAGAGAGAGAGAGAGAGACTGACGCGTTGGGAGGAGAGGAAGAAAGGGTTGGATGATGTTGGGCGTGAGCGAGCGAATGAGCTTTCAACGAAGAAGGGCTTGAAGTTCTTCATCCTCACTATCTCTTTCCGAATCTCTTCCTGATGCGCTATCAATTATCAATTGGGCCTATATATACCGTTATACGCCACGCCACGCCACCACAGACTCCGTCTACGGCGTCTGAGTGAGAGAGACTGACGCTGGCGGTGACGTGGCCTTTATGGGCCTTTTGCCATATTGGGCCAAATCATGTCCTGCTCAAGTCCGGGCCTCGACTCTCTGTACTGTTCATTTGTTAAATAAAAATTAAATTTAAAATAGGATAATTTCAGCAAATTTCACCTTCCATTTCAGTTTTTGATTGTTTTAAAAAATTGAAAGGAAAAAAAAAAAAAGTAAAAAATCCCAAAGGAAAGGGGCTGCTCGCCTGAATGAGAAATTGGCGAAGAAGAAGAAGAGGGAAGAAGGAGGGCTTATCATCTCTTCCATGTTCAAAGTTTTGAAACCCTAGCTAGCTCAAGTCCAGTGGATCTCATCTCTCTAGCAATAAGCAAAGTGAGTGAGTAGCAGTATATTCTTTCATCATCTCTGTGTGTTTGCTTCCACTTTCTTCTTAACTTTAGGGTTACTGATCACTTCCTATTTGGTACATCTCTTCATCTACTTGAGAATCAGATAACTAGTAAAATTCTTGCTCGCACGTTTGTACACACCATTGTATCATATCATATCCTGCATCAGGCTGCCTTGGTAATGGGAACACCGAGCCAAATTTTTAATTTATTTCCATGGGAGAAGCTTGTGTTCAATGTTTATGGGACCTATGAAAACCTTTAGACCCTTTGCGAGCGCTTTTGAAGGTGAAGTGCATGGTGGATGCAGAGTGGATTTGAATTTTCCCACAACCCTCATGGATTCTAATACCCTCACCCTCACGGCCACTTCAACTCTAGAGCCTCATGATGCCATGGAGTTTGAATCCCATGAAGCCGCATATACATTTTACAAAGCATATGCCAAGTCTGTGGGCTTCGGCACTGCTAAGTTGAGCAGTCGTCGGTCTAGAGCATCCAAGGAATTCATTGATGCCAAATTTTCATGCATTAGATATGGCAATAAGCAACAGTCTGATGATGCCATTAATCCTCGACCTTCTCCGAAAATTGGTTGCAAGGCAAGCATGCATGTGAAGCGCAGGCCAAATGGTAATTGGTATGTCTATAGTTTCGTAAAGGAGCACAACCATGAGCTCTTACCAGCTCAAGCACATTTCTTTCGCAGCCACAGAAATACAGACCCGCTTAACAATGATGTTAGAATACGGAGACGGAAGAATTTAGCTGCAGTATCCAGCCTCTTCAGTGCCTATCAAAATGTTGACTGTTTAGAGAGTTACTTGAGAAATCAGCATGACAAGGGACGGAGTTTGGTTTTAGAAGCAGGGGATGCTCAAGTGCTACTTGAATATTTTATTTGCATGCAGGAAGAGAATCCAAAATTCTTCTATGCAGTTGATCTAAATGAAGAGCATAGGTTGAGAAATGTGTTCTGGGTTGATGCCAAAGGAATGGAAGATTACACTAACTTCAATGATGTTGTTTTCTTTGACACCACATACTTCACTAACAAGTATAAAATACCCTTGGTTCTTTTTATAGGAGTGAACCATCATATTCAACCCACATTACTTGGCTGTGCCTTGATTGCAGACGAGACAGTTTATACTTTTGTCTGGCTAATGCAAACCTGGTTTATAGCAATGGGGGAACAGGCTCCACGAGTAATACTGACCGACCAGAACAACGCCATCAAAGCAGCTATTGCAGCAGTATTTCCAGGCACAAGCCATTGCTTTTGTTTATGGCATATAATGGAGAAGATACATAGGCACCTCGAGTTTTTGAGCATGTGGCATGATAGTTTTGTGGGAAAATTTAATAAGTGTATTTTTAAGTCCTGGTCAGAACAACAATTTGAAAAGAGATGGTGGAAACTACTTGATAGATTTAATCTCAGGGAGGTTGAATGGATGCAGTCCTTGTATGAAGATCGTACTCATTGGGTGCCTACTTTCATGAGAGATATATCCTTTGCTGGGCTGTCTCCAACTTCACGGTCAGAAAGTCTCAACTCTTCGTTTGACAAATATATTCAAGGGGAAACTTCACTGCGTGAGTTTATGGAAAGATACAGAGTAATTCTTGAAGATAGGTATGAAGAGGAAGCAAAATCAAATTTTGATGCTTGGCATGAAACACCCGAGTTGAAGTCTCCATCACCTTTTGAGAAACAAATGTCACTAGTGTACACGCACGAGGTTTTCAAAAACTTCCAAGTTGAGGTTCTGGGTGCAGCTGCTTGTCATCTTAAGAAAGAAAATGAAGATGGCATGTCGACAACGTACAGTGTAAAAGACTTTGAAGACAATCAGAATTATGTAGTGGAGTGGAATGAATCAAAATCAGATATATATTGTTCTTGCCACTCATTTGAATATAAAGGCTATCTGTGTAGACATGCTATTGTTGTTCTTCAAATGTCTGGTGTTTTCACAATCCCTTCCAAATATATATTGCAACGATGGACAAATGCTGCTATGAGCAGGCATGCCATTGGCGAAAGATTGGATGAGGTTCAGTCTAAAGTCCGTCGTTACAATGATTTATGTCGACGAGCTATAATACTGGGTGAGGAAGGGTCACTATCTCAAGAGAGTTATGATGTAGCATTATGTGCAATAAAAGAAGCTTTGAAGCAATGTGCAAGTTTGAACAACGTTGTTGAGAACAATGCAAAACCTAATGACCCAGCAATACATGGTATTTGCGGTGTTGATGAAGAGAATCAATGCAGCACAGCATCTGGTGACAAGTTGTTTGGTCCTAAAGTGAGTAATGCCAACAAGACTCCTAGAAGAGCTGGGTCCGGGAAGGAGGTGGCTAGGAATGAGAACACTGCAAGCAAGAAAGGAAAGGTACCTGATGGTGACAGTTTATATATGGTCAATTTTTGTTTATTTTTATTTTTATTTTCATTTGAAATATAGTTTTGAATCTGATACATGAATGAGTCATGTAATTTGAAAGAAAACTACTGATGGTTTAGGTTTGCTTAATTGGCATAACAGGTACCTCAGCTGGAAGCTACGAGTGTTGGAACACAAGACGGCTTTCACCAAATGGTATGTCATGCTTTCATCCTAATAGTAGTTTAGTTATGGGTGATTGCTTCCTTTTCTGATTTAATTTGGATGTAGTAAATTGTGGGTAATTTTAATAGAGGTATTCCTAAATATGGGTCCGCTCTGAAAACTGATGATTTTTGAAGATTGTGGTCTTTCCAATCAAGAGATTTCACTGTGCCAAAAACAAGATAACATTAATACTGGACATGGATTTGATAAGGGGCCATGATCTAATTGTGAGCATAATTTAAATCACGGATCTAATACTGCTTGCATAAGTTAGAAGTGAGGATGGCAGAATTTCACTGACCATCATGGATTCCTGACATGCTTTGATAAATTGATTTGAGAATACTTGATTCTGTAGCCTTTTGTAGATATACCAACAGGTTGAGGAAAACCTTTTGAACCCAATGGGTTATTAACTTATTGAACAGTGCTTATGTTTATGCTATGTGAAATATATGTATCCTTTTCTTAGATGGTGGATGTTTGAGGTGAAGATTTTGAACTTGATGGGTTACTGAACAATGCTTATATGCATGTTAAGTGTAACATATTTTTTTTCATTTTATAACTAGTAGATAGTTGAATCAAAATTGAATGATCATGGACACCGATAATTTTGATTTGAAGATATCATTATACGTGTGAAGCATTTTTCTGTGAGGCAGTTAACTGCAAGTATGGTTTAGTGTGAGAGAATTCCCTACGTGTGTAACATTTGTAAGTTGAAAATATCAAATGCTGATCGCTAAGGTGAGATTTTGTGTTGAACTTGTAATTTTGGGAAAAAGAAAATTGAGCAAAATAGAGTAATAGATGCGTGTTACATGTGGCAGCAACTCCCTGACACAAGAGCGATGCAGTTGCGGAACGCGGTGCCGTCGACAATGTTTCAAAATGTTGCATCAGCAGCACAGTTCCATAATGTGGTATCAACACATGTGCATGAGAATCATCTCCCTCAATGACTCAAACTTTACCTTGTCCGTTAAAAGAGTGATGCATGTACAGGCGAACTGCTGAAGGAAGGACTGTAGTATAACTCAGGTGCTATTGATGGTAAATTTTTAGTTGTGCAACATTTGGATTTCAATTGATTACGTTACGCCCACCTCACCTAAAATGAGAAATATTTGGGAAAAGAAGGAGAAGAAAAAGTTGATTTATTTGTCTCATTTTGTGTGGGGAATGATTAGGCACCTAAACCAGGCAATGTTATAATGAACAACACTAATCCGATTCCAAGTCCAATTGAAACCACGTGTTTTGACAGGAAATTGAACTCCTTTATGCTATTTGCATCTCACGCCCCAACTGGACTCGGGAGAGATTTATATATTATTTCATTAGGGATTGTGTTATTATTTCATTAGAAGAAGGCGTGACATATGATATGAGATTGCATTATAAACAAGGAAAAGAAGAATAAAACATTTTTCTTTCTTATGGATTCCTCTTTTCATAGTCAATCTCAGAGATATGTTTTTATTAACGTACGTTTGGCTGGTTGGTTGGCCTAACTTGTTTCCGTAATGGAATTTGAGGAGAGAAAGTTACTAGTCTAGTATAGTATTAGTATGTATGTATGGCCAAACTGGCAAGCAGGTTATTATGATTCTAGATTTGTTTTAGAATCTGTGTGGACGGGAGCTACTAATAGTCAATGGTGAGGGGTAACTATGGATGTGAACTTTCATATTAGCCACACGATTCATCTGAATAGTAATTTCACTTAAGTTTAATAAAATAATCGCTTGACTATAAAATTTCACCTAATACCGCCACCCAGCCTTGAATGAGTATGGTCATGCCTAAAAGCCTTCTTTAAAAGAGAAACAGAATCTCTGAGTCGCCCAGCCCAGCCCAGGACAGGACAGGACTGGACCACTTTCCTTTTTCTTTCTTCTCATTCAACTCTTTATTCTATTGGCATCCGATTCGGATTCCCTTCGATGGTTGACCGTCGAAGTCGACCCGAACCGAACCCACCATATAACCTAGGAGAAAGGAAGGAAGACACGCAGATAGACAGACAGAAAGAAAGAGCAAAAGGAAAATGAAAATATCATCATCAGACGCAGCAGCAGGCCAACGCTTCCGCATCGGGTACGCCTTTGCACCCAAGAAAGAGCAGAGCTTCATCCAGCCCTCTCTCCTCGACCATGCCTCCCAAAATGGCATTGATTTCGTCCCAATTTCAATAACCGACTCCTTGTCGGAGGAGGAGGCGGCTGAGGCCTTGATCCAACAAGGCCCATTCCACTGCATCATCCACAAGCTCTACGGCCACCGCTGGAACCACCAGTTGAAGCAATACTCCTCCAAGTATCCACAAACTCTCATACTTGACCCGCCCGACTCCATTGAGCGCCTCCACAACAGGGTCTCCATGCTCCAAGTCGTCAGCGCCCTCAAATTGAATTCCCAATTTAACATCTCTGTCTCTGTGCCTAAACAGGTGGTGCTTCAAAACCCCCAGTCGCCTGATTCTATTCATAATAATACTATTGATGGTGCGGTGGAGTTTCCGGTGATTGCCAAGCCCTTGCTGGCCAATGGCAGCGCCAAGTCGCATGAGATGTGTTTGGTTTTTGACCCCAAGGGCTTGCAGACTCTTCTTCTCACTACTACTACTACTACTACTACTAGTGCTAGTACCCAACCCATTTTGCTTCAACAGTTTGTGAACCACGGCGAGGTCGTCTTCAAGGTTTACGTCATTGGCGAATACGTCCAGTGCGTCAAGCGGAGCTCCTTGCCCGATATTTCGGAGCAGCAGCTGACCGCATTGGAAGGGCAAGTGTTGCCGTTTTCGCAGATATCGAATTCCCCTCAACCTCAGGAGGGGGATGAACATGGTCTGGGTCTGGCTCATGATCCTCATGAAATGCCTCCTTCTGACTTTGTGGAGGAGCTGGCCAGGGGGATACGCCTCGGCCTCAAACTCAACTTCTTTAACTTTGATGTGATTCGGGATTCTGGGAACCCTCACTCCTATTTTGTCATTGACATCAATTACTTTCCTGGCTATGCCAAGTTGCCCTCCTATGAGCAGATGTTGACCAACTTTCTGTTGGCTCTTCTTAACACTCCAACCCAAAAGGACCACCAGCTGGAACCAGCAACAACTGAGGAGGAGGAGGAGTCTGATCACGACCACTTAGGAGACAGAGGAGGAGGAGGAGATGCTTCCCTCCTACCCTAACTCTTGAATTGCTCTTGAATTGATCATTGAGCTAACAGAGCCAGTGCTGCTATTATGGTTCATAGGGCTTCGGCTTTCTTCTGATTTCATATATAGTGCAGTGGAGGGCATTATGTTATATGGTATGGCTATGGGTGATATTTGGATACTTAGACTGTTTGTTTTGTTTGAGTCAAGACTCAGTCAGTAATAATGTTTGATCAGTAGCAGCAGCTGTACTGTCTGCATATGGAGAGTTACTTGTAAGTTGTAAGTTGTAACCAACCAAGGCACAAATAATCAATTGCAATGTTTCAATTTCAATGCACAAGTAGAAGCGTTCGTTACAATAAGCATTACCCAAGTTGCGAAATAAGTCCATTAATGTTAGTACAAGTCATCTTTAAATGGGGGATCTCAAACGGGAATTTAAAATAATTGGTATAGACAAATTCACATTAATAGGATTTTGACCAACACAACTCTAAATTCCCCAACTTTTCGCAAATAACAAAGACAATCCAAATTATTAATCGTATATAAGGGTAGGCCAAGAGGAAAATGATACAAAATCAGACGTATTAATAAACTAGAAGCTGGCGAGTATTTGAATATATTTAAAAAGTTTAGCTGCGCAATTATACTCTTTAAATATAATATATTCTAATATTTAAAGTCAAGGGGCTATACTATTTAGATATAATAAATTCAAATGTTTTTAAATAGTATAGTCGAACAATGAGAAAATTAAATAATGGGCCGTGACCCATAATAATATAAGCCATTGAGGTTTGTACCAATTTGTATTCCCGCCGATAATGGGCCGTTGCCCATCGGAAATAGCTTTTAAGTAAACAAATCTCAACCAGGAGGATAAAGTGTCAAAGTCTCTGTATTAAACAATCACGTTAAAGTATGATGGGTCTCGTTTGATTGTCATGCCCATGAGCCATGACAATGACATGCATCACAACTCTGTGCAAAATGGAAAAAGCCCGAAAAAAAGGACATGCGTAACAACTTAGGTTGGAAATGGAATCTATACGTATTTGGCAAGGGTAGGTAGGTTAGTTACTTTGAAAGGTCAATATGGCGGAGTTCCTTGTTGGGCAAGGTTTTAACTAATTGGGATTTCTGATCAAATTGCTTATATATTCTTCTTTATTTTTATTTTTATTTTTTAAATTAAATTAAATGAATGTCACCTTCTTTATTATTTAAGCATTTCTCTTCTTGTATATTATTAATACTATGAAAAGAAAAGAGGCCTTGGGTATTTTTGTCTTGTGAATGTCCACGTACGTTACGTTAGAGATGTTTGACATGAGTTTGTCCGAGATCAACGGTCAAAGCTCCCACATTTTCACTTGAAGATGGCCATGTCATTGCCATGGGTCTTTTTGGCTTGTCAATTTCGTGTTCCAAACGAGCTCCTTTGGAAAATTGTTCAAAGAAAAGAAAAGAAAAGAAATATATATATTACATGATCAACATGAATGAAACTATCAACCTCATGGCTACCTAATAATGGTAACTTATTGATTTGATCTACAGTAGTATTAATTAATGGAGATATCGTGTCTGAAATCAAACTGAGAGACCTCTTCTACGAGATTGGCCATGTCTGCCAAGATGATGTCTTTCCAGTAGGAGTGATTTGTTGCTTCGTCGTCGTGATCCATAAGATCAGGAGGATTCCCCCAAGCTTCAAAGGTGGTTGAATAAGTAGTATTTGAGATGTTGTTTTCCACAGTGGGATTGGCAGCGGAACTTTCGGGAGAGGGTGCAGCTGAGCTGACCAAAAGTGGTAATTGATCATGATCATCTCTTGGAGTTGCATATGATGATGAGCTACCTCCAAGCTTAAGCTGCTGGCTACGATCTCTGTTGTTGTTGTTGTTGTTGCTGTTGGTACAAATCTTGTTTGATCCAGTAGTACTAGAGAAGAAGGGTGCATGATGATCATATCCCAATAATTTATCAGATACCAGGCGTGTACGTGGGGGCTGGCTATGATCAAGATCATGAACAGCTTTGAGTAGGCCTGAAATGTTTGAACTTAAGTTGGACGGCTGAGCACTAGCATGAGTGGGATTTTGTGGAACAAAACCAATTGGGGCGCCGCCGTTGCCAAAACCTTGGAGATGAGGAGAATAATTATTATGATTAATATTGACTCTTGAATATCCATGATCAATATGATCATGAACTGATGATGATGAATACGATGGCAAAAGATAATTAAAAGCTGCTTCCACATTTGGAGTGCTAGTGCTGCTTAGGAGTTGTTGTACTAGTATGTTTCGCAGGACTTGGATTTTGACGTCGGAGTAGTGGAGCTTCATGAGATCAGCATTATTATTAATGCCCCATGGATTCATATTCATCATCAAATTATTATTAGCCAAGCTGCTGCATGTGCCAGAAGAAGAAGAAGAAGAAGCAAGCAACTGCGGTGCCAAACTGGAGAGAATATGATTGATCATGAGATAGTACAGTTGATGAATATTATCACTATTATTAGCTGTGACTGGCCTGTGGTTAACAGGATCGATGCCCATTTGGAGCAACTTTTTCTTCAAATGGGTATTCCAAAAGTTCTTGATTTCGTTATCCGTCCTTCCTGGAAGATTATTAGCTATGGCCGACCATCTGCGTTTTGAATTAATTATAAATTTTTATGTACTTAAAACCTTTATATATAGATAGAGAGATGAAAATAAGAAGCAAAAGAAGTTTATATAGAGAGACTAGCTATATATACGTACTTGTTTCCAACAAAAGCATGGAGGTTGATGATGGTTTGCTCTTCTTCCTGGGAGAAGTTTCCCCTCTTGATATCAGGCCTGAGATAGTTGGTCCATCTGAGCCTGCAACTCTTTCCGCACCTGTTCAAGCCTGCAAGCTGGGGCAGAGCTCTCCAACTCCCATGCCCATATCTTTTTATGTATTCCACCAGCTTTTCATCCTCCTCCGGTGTCCATGGCCCTTTCTTTACTAAGCTGCTCTTTTCATCATAACAACCTGATGCTGAAGCTGATCTCCCCATCATTAATCAAATAAAATCAACAACTTTTACTTCTGCACCAAAATAAAAAGTTAGGAAACTAAATAAAGGAATAATATGAAAGTATATATATCTCTGGCTATAGTTCAATTAGCCCAGCAAGCTAGCTTGCTTGATCATAAACAAATATATACGAGTTAAGTAGCAAAAACAAGATGTCGAGACAAATATGTTATAATATTCAAACCTTGGAGTAGATGTATAATTAATTGTGAGCCTAGCAGCTTGGTGATTAATATTATAACATGTACAGGGAGTATATATAGTACTGTGTGACTGTGTCTGTGTGGATGGATGCATGCATGCATGATGATGTCTTGAAATAACAAAGCTCTCTGAATCGTGATTATTGGGAAAGGGAAAGAAAAAAAGCAAAAAAGATAGCTTGACATTGCATCCCTTCTGTTTCTTCATGAATCGATCATGAGATGGTATAAGAGAAAGATTTTCATACAACAAGGATAGCACTTTTTACTACTGAATCTGAATGCATGTTTTATATTTTTAAACTATAATTTCCATATTGACATTATTCTACTGAATTGATTCAAAAGTCAAAAGTAAGTAAAACTTATATTCAAGCAAGTAACGTTTTGTAATAAGTAAGGTATTGTACAAAAAAAAAGGTGAGCCGTTTAATTCAACTATCCGCTGCCTTTTTCAGAGCAACCATAACCTTTGTTTGACACTCATGACATAGACTCATAGCATGCATGCTCTTGCAGATGCTATGAATTGTAACTACTTACGCTAAAGAAGAAGATCAGATCCATAGAGAGAAAGGATTTGTTGGAATAAATAATAATAATAAAAAACCAATAAAAGAAGAAGAAGAAGAGAGAGAAGGGCCGGCATATTTTTCTTACTGATGTTATTTCTGAAGTAACGGTAAGAATGTTCCGTAACGCTATGGCCTACTAGCTAGCAAAGGTTAAAAGCAAATCCGGGGCAATGCATCATGCATGCAGTAACATTTAAACATTTTGGGAGGTATGAAAATTCATCCCGGCAAGGTAAAGCCTCGTCTTGGTATAAGTAAGTATAATATTGACATTAGTGAATGAATCTTGTCTTGTGGATATACAACTACGTATACATATATATACTGTGAGTCTGTGAGGATGGAGTCAAACAAAACAGATTTTGCTCAAAATATCAAGTTTGCGAATGGGAATAAATAAAGCATTCTTTAGTTAGCTTAATTGACACAAGTAGATATACTATCATGAGTTATGTTGGTCACATATATTACTAGTTTCCTTCTTCTGAAATACAATAAAGCTTTCTTCATTATCCACTTCTACTTTCCAATTTCCAAATCATGCCATTTTGCTTATTCAATCCATATTTATCTTTAACACTTCCAATTGGAAATGTAATATTCCTTTCCTACCTTCAAAATGAAAAACAACACCATCCAAGACAATAATGGCCCATAGAATTCTAAAAAACTTACTTGTAACAGAAATATCATTGTTTTGCTATTCCCGATCAATAACACAATGACACGTGAAAAAACTATCATATATATCATTGCGTTGTTTGCCGACCCGGAATAGCAAAAGAATTTGCTTTCGACTGTTTGGATGCTTGCAAATTGCAATAGCCCATAGATGACATACGCTTGCGTTGCCGTTATATATATATATATATATATCAATCAACTTGCCTTTATTATATGTAAGTACAGAATATTGAGGGATCTTAATTACCAAAACTCAGAGAATGTTGTTGTTGTGGCATATTCGTATTCGGTGGACAGCTGAACGTCCATGTTGTGACATGAGCTCATGACGACGGGACGGCCTTGCTGCTGTATAAAGCAAGCATCCCTTGCTGCTTTATAAAGCATCTTCTTAACTTGGTCTTTGGGGCCGATTCGAATACAGTGCAATGCATAGAGAGAGAGAGAGAGAGAGAGAGAGAGAGAGAGAGAGAGAGAGAGAGAGAGAGAGACTCATCTCTGTCCTTACTCCTTTAAATATATTATGACTGGTTGGTCTCTGAGACTGAGAGCATATATTATATTATATATTATATACATATCTTTATATTAACACAGGACAGTACCCCCCAAAAGGAAAACATAAAATATTTATGTTTATGCTGCTGAAAGAGAATATGAAGAGAAAAAAGATACTGAACTGATCCTCGCAAAAAGATAAAATAATAATAATAAACGTTGAAATAAAAGAAAAAGTACTCAATTAGTGTAGTTGTAATTAGCTATGCAAACCTAGCTATGGCGAATACTGCAATCTGTTTTGTTGTTTAGTTGAGCATGTATTATATTATATATGTTCGATAAAACACATTACATGCCGGCCGGCTGCACATTAAAAAATATAGTTATCTTTGTTTTGGGGTAGAGAGAGAGAGAGAGAGAGAGAGAGAGAGAGAGAGAGAGAGAGTAGCCTAGTATATACGTATATTATATATGAACTCGCCGATGTCTTCTAGACTAGTATATATATATATATTTACAGCAGGTTTAGGCATCTTGTGGCGTGTGCATATTGACACATATTCTGTGATAAGAGACCTTGTCGTTTTTACCTTGTAATTTATCACACGTGGCACACAGTCACACACACATATAAAGAAACCATCAGCAAGCAAGCAGAGCAATTAATATCAGGGAAAATTAAGAGAGAAATTAAGCAAGCTAGCTAGGTACCTAGACTAGAGATCATCAAATGGCGATTGGGCAAGTTTTGCATGAGTTGGAAGTGAAAGTGTCTGCAAGCGAAGCATGGGATCTCTACGGCTCACTTGAACTGGCAAAATTCGTGGAACAAGCACTTCCAAATCTGATTGAAAAAGTTGAACTCATACAAGGTGATGGAGGGGTTGGCACTATTCTCAAATTAACATTTGCATCTGGTAATAATTCCTTGCTTTTTATTTATTTATTATTTATGACAAGGCAGGGTCTGGCGGCAATTAATATATGTTTATAATTGCAAAACTTGTTGTTTGCTGAATTAATAATGCATTTTAAATTGTTTTGATTGGAGTACTGGGCAGGGTCTGGTGTGCATAAGGAAAAGTTCACAAAAGTGGATCATGAAAAGCGGGTCAAGGAAGTAGAGGTGATTGAAGGTGGACTTTTGGAGCTTGGATTGAGCCTTTACAGAGTTCGCTTCGAAATCATTGAGAAAGTAGAAGCTGATTATTCCTCCTCCTCCTGCTGCATCATCAAAACCACAATTGAGTTTGATGTCAAGGAAGACGCTGCTCCCAACACCTCCTCCCTTGTGTCTATCGATCCCTTCAAAAACATTGCAGAGGTCGCGAAGAGCCATCTCCTCAACAAACAATCTCTACCTCTACCCAGGCTCACTTAGCTTTGTATTTTCCTATCTCATTCTATCCATATGCATATTTTACTTATAATTCAACTTTTTAGTTTTCAACTTTTGTATTATTGATGTCATAACTCGCCTGCAACAATAAAAAATTCTCAATTGACCAATCATTTGTAAACAAGCCGAGAAGACAGCCCAATGACATGACAACAGGCTCAGAAGACGGCACAATAACGTGAAATCAGACCGAGAAGAAGGAACAATAACGTGAACTCATGCCCATATGGCAACCCAATAACGTGAAATCATGCCCATAAGGCGACCCAATAGTGTGAAATCATGCCCATAAGACGATCAAGAAGTCGACCCGATAACATGAAATGAGACCCATAAGTACGCCTAAAGGTCGGCCCAGTAACTTTAAATCAGGCCCAGAAGTCGTCCGGAACAAACTTATAAAGAAAACTATTGGGCGTAGGGGTGGGCACAATTTTGGGTCAACTTGATCACACTGAGTTGGATTGGGTTGGTTTAAAAACGAACGGGTTTTGGGTTCAAAAAATCATAAAACGTTATATACATGTTGGAATCAAAACTTAAAAGTAGATTTAATTTTGAGTTACTGACTAAACCGCCCAATCCAATTACAAAAAGTTTAGGTTGAGTTGGAGTGGCTTAATAATGAACAGTCTTGGGTCCAAAAAATCATAAATCATTATATATCGAGTTGGGAATAAAACCAACCCAACCCAACCCATGCCCACCCCTAATTGGGCTTTCGAGCAAATTAATAAAGGTACTTAAGAACATTAGTAATTAATGAAGAGATAATTAGATTACAAAATCTCAATTTCATTGTCTGAAAATTATAAGACATGACGTCATGCATAGCACGATGACGAGGGGTCATGTCAATGGAGACAAAAAAGATAAACAAAAAGGGAAAATTACATGGATGAAGCATTGCTATAAGGATTATTTTCCGCATCAATCCAGCAGCATGAATGCATGGGGGCCGGTGAGCTGCTGTAAAACTGGAAAACTGGTTTTGATTTTAAGTTGTTATTGTTATATATTTATGACGAGCACATTTGGGTTAACTTACAGTTACAGGGCGGTCCAGCAGTTGTTGGTGCGTGGGTTCCACACGGAGGGGAGCATGAACTTCATACCCTTCTCTCCAATGGCATTGTAGGATCCACCCGAAGCGGTGTCGAGCTCAAGCTTTCCGGTCTGGCCAGGGACTGCGCCACTTCCGAAGATGTTATCGCAGGCGGTGCCGGCCTCGATGGGGTCGTCCTTGGGTCCGGGTTTGAAGAATCCGGTATTGAAGGGGTTGGTGACTGCAGCAGCCAAGCCGGAGGCGAAGTTGATGAGCATGGCATCAATGCCGGCGTTTCCGTTGGGGGGCTTCACGGTGACCTGGGTTGGAACGCCGTAGTCGAGCCTGTTGAAGGGCCAGGCACAAGCTCCGGGGCACTCGATTTCGGGGTTGCCGACGATGAGATAGGGTTTGTTATCAACCAAGCCGTGCTCGTAACATTTGCCTCTGCACAGCCCTGTCACCGTCACTTGGCTCCCCGTGAAGAGTACGACAAGAGTGTTGGGCTTCCCGGAGTCGGCCTTCTTGAACAGGGAGTTGATGAAGTCAATGGTCAACACCTTCCCCACTGTGTACTTGTCGTCAGTCTGCTGAGTGCCCACTTTGATCCGGAGTCTTGGTGGGGTAGCGGTGGGGTCCAGGCCGGGCTTATTGGTGAATAGTTGGTAGGCCTCGACAATGTCCCACCACCTGTGCACGGCGGCTATGTGGTCGTTCTCGGTGTTCTCGAGGGACCTGAGGAAACTCCGGACGACGTTCTTTTGTTCGGCCGTGAACTGACCGTAAAATAGGATGGAGAGGTTGATGTCCCCGGTGAGCAGAGGCCCTCCGTGGTATATGATGCCTTTCCCAGCTTCAGGAACAGGAACGCCGCCAACCCCAGGAGCACTACCAGCAGCTGGAATAGGATTAGGAGGAATCACAGGATTAGGATTAGGAATTCCACCGCCAACTGGATTTGGATTAGGTTTAGGAACATTTGGAGCTACACCACCTCCTTTAGGCCCACCACCTTTTCCTCCTTTATGCCTACCACCGCCTCCTTTATGCCCACCACCTTTTTGTGCACGTCCTCCTCCTTTGGCCTTATTGGCCAAAACCAAACTAGGCATTGTAATATCCAGGAGGAGTATAAGGCAGAGCGCCAGAGCGGCAAGGCGCTGGCTACTTCCCATCAATGAGGCAGCCATTTTCTTACTTTTCACTCTATTTTCTTGATACAATGAGAAGGAGGATTCTCTATCCTTTTATTATTTCTTTTTTGTTTTGTTTTGTATTTTTCAAATTTAAATTTATTCCTCTTCTTTTCTTTTTTCTTTTTGATTTCTGCATCTGACTCTTACCCTATTTATATATGGCAGTCGCGCCTAAGAAGATGAGGCGCCCCACAAATCAAGGCCATGCATATGCATATGCATGCAACTCTCCCTCTCATTATCTTAATTAACGGACACACCACAAGACTAGATCACATGACCTAGTTTTGTACCTGGCAGACAATCAAAGCCTTTCGATTCAGATCAAGACGCTCTCTATATTTGGTTAGGTTAGGAGAAGACGTAGTCAACTCAAAAATGAATCTTGAATTTTTTTTTTTTTTGGATGAGATCGAAGGGTGTCCACCGACGACAGTAGTGACTAATCCCTTTCGCCGCGGGAGCTCTTCAAAGGAGGTAAACAGCTGGCCACGAAATGCGCTCCATTCCCATAGGCGGGGATCGAACCCCCAACCACATGGTTAAGGAATGAGGTGAGTTACCACCACATCACATCTCATGGTTAAAAATGAATCTTGATTCTTTTCTTGGGCCTCCCTCCCTCATATATTGAAATTTGAATGATATTATAAAATTCAAAGAAAAAAGAATCAAAGCATTATAAATAAATAAATATGTAGCTAGGCTAGTTAATTAGTGAGTTGTGTGAATTCGCATTTATGCGGTTAAAAATGTTAATTCCAATTGTAACCCCAATATTTGAAGTCTGGTGGCACTGCTACTAGCTAGCTTCGGTCTTCGGTCTCCGGATTTAAGGTTTATGGTTTAGGGTTTACGTTTGGATTTCGGAGGAGGAGGAGGATTACTAGCTCGTTGTGCTTTGTTCTTGGTGTATGTATGTTACATATAATTAGATTCCAAAGGCAAAAGAATAAAATATAAAAGAACAAACAAACAGGTACAAGTTACAACAACACAACACCGTTTATTCCATTCAATGCATGAAAATTAAAATGGATGGTAATGTAAAAGTAATTATAAGATGGTATGTGCCATGGTTAAACACAAGAAATAGGGTAGGTAGGTATACAATACCAATACAATGGATTGCTAATTAAGTAATTAATACTTGTGCTGCTCATCTCTCCCAGTCTGTCTCTCTGTTGATCCAAATTCCAAGCCCTCTAATATAAACAAACAAACAAATCAAACACACTCATACCCTGTACACTCCGTTGTCAGGTTTCTCCTGCTTTGTGTTGTCGATATAAGGCAATGCGTTTCTTTACATTTCCCCCATTTTGAGACCTTCCTGTCTTCCTTCTTTCGTAGCCTTGCAAACACAGACTTAAGCCCATTCCTCATCAAATTCAGCGTCCCTGTAACAAGCTCTCTGCAACATCAAATATTAATTGTTAAATTACCATAAGTGTGTCTAATCTATAATGACCCACAGAACAGAATCTCATGATCCCATAATCAACATGTTCAGAAAATAATATGGAATATCAGAATCAACCAAAAATGAAGGGTGTTGTACTTACAATGGTGAACAAGGAGATCGGCCACCATTTACATAGTAAACAAACAGATACGAATCATAATGCTGACCATTGATCAAGTAAAAGCCTTGCAACCTTCTTACACACATGAATGACATTTTCTTGTACAAATGGATTGCCGCATTATTGTAAGAAATGACATGCAAGTAAATTCCTCGGCAGGTTGGAATACTTGAGGCATATTTTATGACCTCACGAATAAGTGCTGAAGCTGCAAGTCCAAGGAGAAACAAATTATATATATGGTCATATAGTGAAACAAAGTCTTAGAATTCATATCAAACAAGAGACAAACTCTTACCTATGCCAAGATTTCTGAAAGATTCTACAACTCCCAGTGTCAGAATGTAGATTAATGTCTGATCTGATTTTGACGGTTCGTAACTGAGCAGATCCCCTATCTACAGGGCCAACGTTTTGTACATAAAAGAGTGAGGGCAACTCAGGAAATTTAATAATAAAAAGAAAATTGCAGCAAACCTATACTTTCTTATACTAGCAATATCTTGAATGTCAACCTCTGTAAGTACTCACAAGTTCCATGGTTTCAATTAAAACAGAAAGACCAAATAATAACCACAATAACTTTTTTTAATCAACCCTTTCCTTATTACCAATCTGCTACTGGTGTTTCAAAAGTTGCTAGCTAGCTATCAATGACTTATAGGACCAAATACAGAAAATTTATACCAAAGACCTAGGATCCAATCCTTTCTCCATTATGGTTTTATGATTGAGGGAATTAGTGCTGGTTCCTCCCTACAGATGCATACAGGAAGAAAGAATGCTAGAAATATAGAGGACCCACCTCACTTTCTTTGGCAAGAACAATTCGGGCGGTTACAAATCCAATAAGTTCATCACTTTGACCATTTGGACGACTTCGATCAACAGCTGCCCATGATACAATATCATGTCCATTGACTACATTTTGAAAAAACTCAGCCTCATACCTGAGATTGACAAAATCTTTAGTGAGGAAGCTGTGTTACGATAGCAAGGAACATACCCACGAGAAAGTATCAAATGACATTACGTACCGAATGGGAAATAAATCAGCATGGATTTGCTCCAAGATCTCAAGGTCAGACGGTTGTATAGGCCTGTAGGATATGGTTGGACGACAGGAAGGTTTTGGGTTCACCATTGGGATTGTGCGGTCAATCCCCTGCAAATATTTGATATACTTGGAGAATTTGCACATGAATTTCTCCTTCCATTTATGCCACATCAGCCACAAAAGCCATGCAGTAGTTTCTGTCAAGCTGTAAGAGAAATGATGCCATACAATAATTTCCATATTGACAAATCATAAATAAACAAAGCAACAGAACATTCACAAATTTTGGAAGCCTGATGTGTCTATGAAGCCCACAAACTGATGAAGATTAGCATCTTCATTGAGTGATAACGAGATATGTTCAAGTATCCAGTTAGATATGAAATAAAGAAAGTTGAAAATGACTAATATCCTCTACTCTCTGTCCTCTATTAATGGCATCTGGGCAGTTGTTTTGAACTTTCAAAAATCATTAGGTTGCTTCAGAAATGAACTTAGAGGTTATTAGCCTGACCTGGTAACTGCAAGGACATTTTTTCCCAAGATAAAAAGGCACAAGGTCCATTACAGATCCGATATGTTTACGCACAGTTAAGGGAATAGAGGTGAAATAGAGTTTTGTACTTGAAGTATTTACCTCGACTGACGCTTTCCTTGACAATGAATGGGCAAATTAGAGTATCCGACTCTTCAAACGTGGCCTGCAGAGTCAACTAGGAATGTCATTTTTATTTTACCAATAAATAAAGTCTCGAGGCTAATTCCATCTAAGAAAACACAGGGTTTAGAAGAGATAATACAGGATCGTGGGTATATCAAGTTCAACAGAATGAACAAGATATATTTAGAATTAAGAACATGACATGATACTAATTAGGTGGGAGAAAAATAGATGGTTCATCACACGTTCTCTGCCCCAAACCATATTATTACTTATGGGTTTAGCTCACAAGCCATGCACGTCTTCTTCCTACTGGTATCAAGTCCATGGTGATTCGCTTTGCAAATTGTAACACATGCCGAGTTGAAGTTTCTGATGAATTCAAATCTAATGCATGATTTTGTATGAACTCCAATGTAATTGACTAATTGGCAAATTGTATAATGGTCTAATTGAATTGAATCCATGAATGGGAACAGCTTGTCAAAAGAACAACGAGAGAGAGAGAGAGAGAGAGAGAGAGAGAGAGAGCAACTTACACGCACAAGGCGACAAGAAAAGCTCAATTCTGGCAGTGCATCAAAATTTCCGGATAAGATCAAATGTCATCACTAACTGAGAGCAAAGTGCAAAGACAGAGAAATTACCAACCAATTGAATTCTAACAACCACATCTTGATTCCCCATAAAAATAATATTTAATACAAGAAGAATTTGATAGCTTTGAGCGCACACACAAAAACAGTGTTTTGAATTTGATAGCAAACAGAAACCCAGCTGAGATCTCAGACCGCTTTACCTTGGTGGGTGGATGAGATAGATAGGAATTGAAAAACGATGGGGAGTTTCAGTTTTTCTCTGTAAAACTACAAGCTTGTTGCCAATCCCATGCCTCTCTCGGAATCGCTTCGTTGGGTTTGGGTTGGGAACTTGGGATACCGGTGATTTGGAATCTTATTATGCTTTCGTGCCACTGACTTCTCTCTCCCTCTCTCTTTCTGAGTAGCCTACTCCCAGCGCTCAAGTAAGGTAACATCCAAGACCAAGACTTTGGTGTCTGTGTCTTTCAGGAACCAATAAAAATAAAAGGACATATTGCTAGTTTCTTTATTCTTTTCTTGGGCTAAATATGATGATTCATGTTGTTGCCATTCTTGAGTTTCTTGGGCTGAAGCTTGGAATGGGCTGCTTTAGTTTTGTTTGAGACGTGTCCAAACGCGCCTTAAGGTTTTCCTTTAGTTTTTTTTGTCTCCTGTCCTGGGTAGATTGTTTCTCCATCCACCTCCACCACGCAAGAAAAGAAGGAAAGAAAATAAAACAAAGGCAGCATCTTATTCTTTGTTAAAGCAAGTGTCCTGCTACGGTCTATTATTATCATTAGGCAAACCAATTATTTTTTATTATTTTCTAAAAATCTTGATCAACTACTTTTTACTCTGTTTGGATGATATAAAAAATCACGATACAGATACAGTACAGATGAGTAGAGATGCAAAGAATTTCGAAACTTTGATAAATAAAAAATTACATGTGTTTTTTGTGTGTCCCTTGGAGAGGGAGGGTTGTAGATTCCACATATACTACTAACTGTGTATATTTACATACGAGGATGATGGCCGCCACATCAAGAGCCCTAGAGAGGTGAGTCATTTGGTAAACATAAAAGACCAAAAGCTCAAGTTGAAGTTGAAGTTGAAGTTGAAGTTGTAGGAAGGAAACACCACCAACGACTTAGAAGATCATTACTTTGAGAGCATCAAGAAATCACTGCTCAAGCGACCACAACTATAATGACAATGATTAGGATGATTCCAAAAATCACCAACAGCAAACAGGTCTGCATGCACAAATAATGAATACATCATCAATTCCTTCTTCAGGGAAAGGAAAGAAAAATTAAGAGTTATATATCTCAAATAAAAAACTTTCGTTAAATCACTAGTCAGTCAGTCATGTCACAGATGAATCAATCCCGCTAAACTTAAGGTGAAATTGTGTTCCTGATAAAATGGGAGACAGTTTGAAGAAACCCATGTGTTGAAGGAAAAATTACCAGAGATGAATTAGATCTTTGGATCTTCGATGCTTTCACAAGTTGGGAGGTGGCTTGCACAGTTGCAGTATGAGAGTTCTCAATGTTAGAGCCAATATCATCTGAAAATAACACATGTACAGCACCATTCAAAGTACGGCACACAAAATCCAAATGACTCAACGTATACCAATTCAATTTTTGAATAACAACTAACGGGCATTGGACTAACCGATTATAGCTCCTTGATCATGGACCAGGACAGCTAGATCTTTGAAAATCTCATTAACCTCACTGATCTGTTGTTGAATTTCTTGGATCCCTTGCTCCCTTTCTTCAATAATAGCTTCATTGAATGCGATCTCATTGTCCGCCAGTAAAACCTCTTGTCTGCATACAACAGATTCAATCTTATAACTTAAATCAATGAAGCTAAATTGCATCATTCAAGGCACTCAACCTCAAAGGCAATAATTAATTTGAGAGGCATGTCCCAATTACTCAAAAACCTTCCTTAGTTAGATTTAGGTGGACTAAGCCAATACAGACTGAGAAAATCACTACACAAAGTTTAGTGGTGGGCCTGGAGGCAAATTCTGTGACACCCGAATAACAAGAAGCTGCAAACACATTCTCAATAGTTACTACAAAGAGCTGCCAATTTATGGATGTATATTTGTTTGCCCACCTTCTTGATTCTAGCAGAAGAGCTTGCTGTTTGGAACTCGTAGTTGAACTCATCTCCTGCTCATGGGCAAGATAACTGCACAATATGATGAAAGGCGTATATGAGTAAAAGGTGTAAATAAAAGAGAGATAATTAGCACCTATACATATTATCACAATCTCTGGGAGACTACTAGCATTTGCAATTATAGTTTAATCATTAAGAACAATTATGTCAACTTAGACACAAGTTTACATTTTACAGAAAATTTAATGCTTCTGTAAAGTGTGTCCGGTGTTCCTTTCGGTATCAACTAATTTACCTGGATGGCAGAACGTCTTTGGGAACAAAAGGAGCATATGTTGTTTCCCTTTCAGCTGCAAGCCTCTGAGCCTTCTGAAATTCTTTAAGAACCGCCTGGAAATCCTTTGCAAGCTTAGCATCAGCAATCTTCTTGACAACCTGCATTTTGAAAAGCGTCCCTGAAAGGTGAGAACCCCCAACTCCACTGACCACAAGAGGAAGCATACACTGGATATATACATATAATAACCCAGGGCTAATTCATTCAGAAATGATAAAGGAATCACAACCATATGAAGCCAATAAAAATATATAGAGCGGAAGAATAGAACCAGATCACCACACACACTACACTGAGAGTAGTTAATTTTCCCTTTTTCTTTTCTTGTTTCGATTCAGGGGATGGGAATGTCTCAGAATGCCCCATACACAAAGTTAGGCGTAGTGAAAATATTGAACTCCTACATAATTTAGAGAAGTATACTTGCATATGCACTTACACTAACTTGGGCATGCTGATCAGTTTGCGTAGTGAAAATATTGAACTCCTACATAATTTAGAGAAGTATACTTGCATATGCATTTACACTAACTTGGGCATGCTGATCAGTTTCACTGGCTTGCTTAAGTTTGGCCGAAGTATCTTTCACCAACTCCCCAATATGTGCCCGTGACTTATGCCTGCCAGTAAAAAGTAGTCAATGAGTGATAATGCCATAAAAGAGGAAAGAAGGGCTTTCGTTTCCAAGTCGCAACCAAACAATTCGCATTTGCCAAAATACATATATACATATATGCATTAGCTGGAACAGCACAAACCAGACAACAAATTTCAATAGGCGGACTTTCTCTCAAATATATATAAACCCACCCACAATGTAGAAAACAGACAATTCGAGCACTTATAGCTCAATGTACAATCAATCAGTTAAGGCGCCAAAGTCTGAAATAGAACTAAATAAACAGGGAAAAGGAACTAGAAGTCGAATTAATCATTCATAATATAAAATAAAAAGAGAAAGAGAGAGGGAAAGAAGAGAAAAGCTCACAGCTTGTCACGGAGTTGAAGGGTGTCTCTAGGGGTGCCGAGGGAATTGACTAGGCGGAAAAAGGAGGAGACGGCGGTATTGATTTGGAAAATCCCAGCAGACACAGCCTGAGAAGGCTCGTAAAGATTTTGACTTTGATCTTGATCTTGATATTGATATGCTGCTCGTTGTCTTTGCTTCTGAATTGAATTCGAGTAAATGGGTTGTCGTTGTTGCTGCGGAGTAGCAGCCTCAAGATCTTGGAAACTCATTCTTTCTTCCTCTTTGTTCCTTGTGTTGTGCGGATTGATTGATGAAGAAGGAAGACTCTGTTTCTGCTAGTGTTCCTTCCTTGGGTTGCTTGGCTTATGGTGTTTGGTGGGTGAAGAGAACAAAGACAAGAGGGAAGTTTCGTTGGTTGAAACGTTCCTTGTAAGTGTCTCCTTCTTCGCAATTCAATTTCACCTGTACTTCAAACTTGAAACTAGAAAGAAAGGTCAAACTACGCTTTCCCTTCTCTTCCAATCCCAACCCAAACCCAACCCAACCCAAATTGCTAACGTCCATCCATACGACAATCTCAGAATCACAACAACTGTCGTACTGCCGTTGAAGGCTTTGCTAGTTAGTGGGCTTGTCATGGATAATAAGCCCAATTTATAATATTGGATTGGGCCTGGTTTTCAGTCCATTCAATGCATTTGACATCGGCGGTGCGGCTGTCCCTGATCCCAAATAACCGCCTTCCCTCTCCTCTCCTCCTCTGTTTCTTTCTTCTTCCTTGTTGGGACAGATTTGTTCTCTGCACAGTGCACATCATACCCAAACAGGCCTTGTATTTGATGGAGGTCAGTTCTCCACTCACTCTAATTCGTTCGTTTATCAGTTTTATTTTAATAACTATCCTTCTGAATTCTGATCCAAATTTGTTTATCTGCTTGCTTAAATATCGTTACCAAATCAAAACTGGTTTTGAATATTTGATCCCCCCCACTCTCTTCTTTGATGTTTATTGTGCCTTCTTCTACGTGTTTTTTTTTGTATTAAAATTACTATTCCACATGTTTCTTTTTAGTTTGAGTGTTTTTGGAAAACAATTTGGTCATTACTTCGTCACTGCATTTCCATGGTAATATGTATTCTCTGAGTCTGAGTTGGGATTTCATTACTTGCGGCTTTTTGTTCTTAATGGCAGATAAGGACAGTGAAAGTTAACAATGTCTCCCTGGGTGCAACGGAGAATGATTTAAAGGAATTCTTTTCCTTCTCCGGTGAAATCGAATACATTGAAATACAAGGGTTGGTTTTCTTTTCTTTCTCGTTTCGGGTTACTAATTAATTGAACAAGATAGTGGTTTCTAATATTTTGAGACACAGAAAGTTGATTTTGTTTTTTTTAATTTTATTTTATCTAAGGGACAACGAGAGGTCTCAGATTGCATATGTTACCTTCAAGAACCCCAAAGGGGCAGAAACTTCAGTGCTTCTTTCGGTGGGTTCACTTCTCACTGTTCTTGGCCTTTTTCCCTTGTTGTTTTAACTTATGATTGCTGATCAACCCATATTATAATAAGTTCTGAGTTTCGCTTTGATCTCATTTGATAAGCTTGTGTGTTTCAGGGAGCAACTATAGTTGATCAGTCCGTTACCATAGAACTGGCTCCAGATTACAAGCTTCCAGCTGCTGCAGATTCAGCACGTCCAACTGTAATATTATTTTCTAAGGGGCACCTTTTCTTTTAACAATATATATATTATACAATAGTTGTTTGTTTCTGACAATGTTCAATCTCCTCAGGCAACAGATAATGTAAGTTCTGGTGGTGCTCCCCAAACCGCAGAGGATGTTGTCAGCAGCATGCTAGCCAAAGGCTTTGTTTTGGGAAAAGATGCAATCAACAAGGCAAAGGCCTTTGATGAGAAACACCAGCTTACTTCAACTGCAACGGCCACAGTAACTTCTTTGGACCAAAAGATTGGTTTCACTGAGAAAATTAGTGCTGGCACAAGCATGGTAAATGATAAGGTGAGGGAAATGGATGAAAAGTTTCAGGTTTCTGAGAAGACCAAGAATGCGTTTTCAGCTGCAGAGCAAACGGTGAGCAGTGCTGGGTCTGCAATCATGAAAAACCGTTACATACTAACTGGGACGTCGTGGGTAACCGATGCGTATAACAGGGCAGCCAAGGCAGCAGGTGAAGTGGGGCAGAAGACCATGGATAAGGTTTCAGCAGAGGAAGAGGGTGGAAAGAAAGTGGAAGGCAATAGTACTACTCAGATCACTCAAGTACATTCTCCCAAGGATGCTACCCACTAAACTAATGTAAGTTCAATTCTTTTATGCGTGTTCTATTTGTGCTATCGTATCAAGTTATTTATGTTAAGGCAATTTGTTCTTTAGGTAATTTACTAAAGCAATAAGGTTGTCGAATTGACATGTTTCTGTTCTTCCCTTTTCATTAAAAAATAAAAATTAGACATGTTTTTCCATCCTCAAATCATTTGTATTGTTGGAATAAGATGATTGAAAACTTAAACCTAAGATGACGAGACTGCATTTGTATTGTGTGTGAATCAGATGATTGAAAATGGGAGTGAGGATGAGAGTTTGAGAGAATATGAGAGGGGAGGATGAGAGGGATGAGTAACAAAAGTGAAAACAAAATCTTGAAAGTAAAAACAATTTGAAATAAATTTCAGTTTTTAGTTTTCGTTTTCACTTTTGTTACTCCTCCCTTCCATTCTCTCCTCTCATCTTCTCTCTCAAAATCCCATATCCAATCTCATTCTCACTTTCCATTCTCCTTTTTTCTCTCTATACTCTAGCAAAAAAATAAAAACAAAAAACAAAAATAAAAATAGTTATCAAACGGCCTTAACTTGTATTCGTTTTGGAATTTGATATCTCCAAGTACAGATGAATTTATCAAAAGTCGAGTTATTCTAGGCGAAAAAAAGAAAGAAAACCTCAATATGCTGATCCGGTGTATTCTCAGCCGTCAGATCTTTTCAAGGACATGAACGGCTAAGATGAATTAGTAAGGAATATCCCCAAACATAAAAGCGCTCCAAACAAAGAAGTTAGTTGAGGTTGAAGAATCGGAACCAACCAACGCGACCAAGTCTCAATTCTCAAACCCTAAACCTACCCCTCCCTACCCCTCATCACTCTACCATGGCCTCGTTCGACGCATTGTTCTTCATTCTTCGTCTTCTACATCAACACAATCCCAAACTTTAACCCTAATGCGAATGTGTTTCTACACATTCTTCTTCGCACCTGGATCTAGGGTTTCAATTTCGTCCCCGAAGATCCCCAGCCTTGTACGTCCTCTTAGATCGGATCGCTGGAGAAATTTTTGCTCGGTCTCGCGCTCCGAGATCTCGATTCGTCTTGTATTAGGTTTTCAGCTCCGACAAGGCTCTGACGAGTCGGCAGGTTGCCCCTACATATTTCTTCCCTAATTTCTTGCATTTATTTGAGTGATCTTTGAATCCAGTTTTGAGATCTAGTTGCATTTCGTGTTAATGATCTTTCTATTTACGTTGGATGTTTTGGATTTTTATTTTATATTTTCTGGGAATTGCATTTTGGATGCAAATCATAATTCCAAGACAATTGGTTGAGGGAATTTGAAGTTAGTTGTTGCCTGAGTCTAAGAAGCACGCCATTTGGATGTTGTTGTTGAACATTTTCTGTTGAAATTGAAAATTAAGTCAATGTAGGTTTGTCTATTAGGAACTGAAATTTCAGGTTGATACTTTACCATTTGGTTAGAAACTGAAACTCAGAGACATTAATTACCAAGTCTTGGATACCAGCAATGAAAATCAGATGCACCAAATTTCTTGTGTGTATCGATCAGGTCTTGTTACTTTAATTCCCTGTAGTTTTTAAGCTGCTATCAATTTGAGTAAAGCACACAAAGTATACCTGGAGTTTCCAGTATGGGTTGGGCAAAAAAAGGTGAAAAGCTCGCCTTTGGGGCTAGCTTTTCTCAAATTACATTAGCCACTACTGATGCTATAGAAAGAAACCTTGGGAACCTATATGCTGGAAGTTTGTCGTCTAAAACTTCATTATTTATAGGGTTTGCTGACTTTGAGATTTTTATTTTTGGTGTTCATTGTTTATTGTTCTTTTTCCTTCCTGATGGATTGTATATTTTTCCTTGTCGCATAATTTTGTCGTGCTTCTGTATATGTATTTTTTTAAATTTTTAAATGCTACATCTTCACAGCATACAGTAAATTACACACTTGTAGAGATACACCGACCGAAACATGTAGAAACCTCATTTCTCCAATAACAGTTAGTAGGTTGGATATGATTTTAGTGAAAATAGAGTTCTGTTGAGGGAAGTTCATTGCTTGTTTTTCTTTAGGTGGAAGTGACTTTAAAAAGTAAAAAGGTATTTCAATGTTTAAACAGGATTCTTGCAAATGTAAAGTTTCTGTTTTTCTAATCTCATTTCTTTTTCTCCCATGAGAAGTGAGTATAGGTAGCTACACAGAATAAAAGGTTTGAGCTACTCTGATGATGAGTTTGGCAACCTCAAACCCTCAAAATACAAGGTTTGTTTAATCATTTGCATCCTGATAGTGGGACATAACTGATGTGTTTCGTTTAGTTGTGTAAATGTTTTAGTGTTATATTTGCTTCATTTTCCTTGAATCTCGCTGGCCTTCTATTGGGGAACCAAGCCCATCACCGGCCAGAAAAGACAAATAACTAAACATCCTTTTTTAATTGATTTACTGTTTAATTTCTATGATTTAAAAGCCTATTGGATTGTGGTGTATCTTGTTTTAGTTTCTCTGGGAGTCTTCGATTTTTCAATTGTTAATGGGTCCTCGTTCAGGACTCGGGACTTTTGATCCATCAACGGAATCCTCTTTTACACCGCTTTTTTAACCACAACTTTACAAGAAGCATGTATTTCCTCTTTTTTTTTATAAAAAGTCAGATAAAACTGGACACAATATCCAAACGATTGTAATGAGCGAAATGCTGTGCCAATAACATGAAAACAGGCCCAGAAGTCCGTTCCTCTTTTTTTTTATAAAAAGTCAGATAAAACTGGACACAATATCCAAACGATTGTAATGAGCGAAATGCTGTGCCAATAACATGAAAACAGGCCCAGAAGTCCGCCTGATAACGTCAAAACGCCCGAGCATACAGCCCAATTGCTTGAAAACCAGCCTAGGATGCGGTCCGATAGAAGGAAGGTAGACCCGGAAGTCGACCCAATAACAAGAAATCCGCCCAGTAATATAAAAAGGGCCTGGAAGTCCACTCAACGGGCCTAGGAATCCGGGCAATATCCCGAACACGGTACAGCTTCAAGCCCAATTCCGTGGAAACCAGCCCAAAACTTGCACAATAAAATTAAAATAGGCCCAGAAATCGCCTAGCAAGCCGAAAATGGCTCAAAAGTTGGCCCAATAGCATGAAAACGGGCTCAGAAAATGGCCCAATAACATGAAAACATGCCCAGAAGTCAGCCCAATAGCCTAAAATGGGGCTAGGTCGGCCCAAAATGTGCAAATAGACCCACAAGAGGGCCCAATAATATTAAAATGGGCCCAAAACTCGGCCCAATTATGTGGAATCAAGCCCAGAAGTTGGCGCCCATAATCTGGCCCAATAACGTGGAAACAGGCCCAGTACTTGGCCCAAAAAAAAGAAAAGGGCCCAGAAGTCAGCCCAAATAAGCTGAATATGGCCCATAAGTCGGCCCAATAATGTGTAAATAGGCCCATAAGAAGGCCCAATAATATTAAAATGGGCCCAGAAACTCGGCCCAATTATGTGAAATCGACCCCACAAGTCGGCCCAACAATCTGAGAATGGTCCAGAATGTGGCCCAATAACATGGAAACAGGCCCAGCAGTTGGCCCAATAAAATGAAAACGGGCCCAGAAGTCAGCCCAATAGGCTTTAGTGGCCCATCATACGGCCCAATCGTGCGAAAATTAGCCCATAAGAGGGCCCAATCATATTGAAATGGGCCCAAAGATCGGCCCAATTATGTGGAATCAAGCCCAGAAGTCAGCCGAATAATTTTAGAATCGGCCCAATAGTCAGAGAATGGCCCAGCATGTGGCCCAATAAGGTGGATAGAGGCCCAATAGTTGGCCCAAGAAAATTAAAACGGGCCTAAAGTCTGCCCCATATTGTATAAATGACCCACAATTGGACCCAATATTGTGAAAACAAGCCCATAATTTGGCCCAGTTACATGAAAGCATGCCCAGAAGTCGGCCTATCAACGTAATAACGGCCCAGCATTCTGCCCAATTACTTGAGAACTGGACCGATGATCCGGAAACGGCCCCTGGTTCGTCCCGGTGACGTAGAAACAGGCCCAATAATATAAAAGAAGGCCCAGAAGTAGGCCCAATAACGTAAAAACGGGACCAAAGTCCGCCCCCCGTATCTTGAAAACAATGCCATGTTAAGCCCAGTATTGGGATTTTGTCATATTTTAATGTCATGTTTCCGGATTATCGACTCGGGCCCAAATTGTTATTACCGATTATATCACTAATATTTCTTTTCAGTGGATCCATTGTTCTCTCATGCATCAGATGATCTGAAAAAGTGAAAAAGAAATAAAATGGAAACACGAGCACACACACACCAGGCAGCACGCCTTCAAATTTGTGGCCAACACAGAAAAACCTAAAAACAAGAAACGACACAAAATAATTCCCAATCAGAGCATCAACAACTGCAGTCGCCTTGATTTGTCATCTTCCTCGTAAACTTTTCTTTTTCTCATTTTATCTTCTCATCTTCCAACTCCCTTCTTATAAATTATCATCATCTCAAGATCACAAGGCTTCTCAGCAGCGACCTTCACTTTCATCTACAAATCCATGAGCTATTTTATCACCTTTTTGCGTTCTCAAACTTTACAATAGGGCTGTTTGAAAAGACAGCTAACAACCAAATGAATGCATATAAACAGAAGCATAGCTGCAGAAAATATAATCAAGTATTGGCAAAAAAATACAGATAAAGTAAACAAAAATAGATGTACAATAACTGGAAGCGCACCTCCAGTGCATCAAGATCAATTGCAGATCAATTTCTAATCTACCAATCTTATAACGTATTAAACACATGCGTCATATTATAGAGAAAAAGAAACGGATCAATATTGACGTTAGCATATTTTCCAAATTTACATAACTATTCTCGTTGTTTTGAAAATTCTAATGGACTATAAAACAGTTCTTCAGAGCACTTCTAATAAAACCCATTGTAGCTAGAGCCTATTCCTATCCAATAATACTAAAAAGGGAGAAGAAAAAAAAATGCAAACAAATGAGCTAAAGCTCAAGGGAGCCAGTTGCCAGCAAAGAAAGGCTTAATAATTTAGTAAGTCATCACTTGACACACTCTTTATTTTGGGGTCAGAAATGACACTTCATAAAACAGGCCAAAAACGCAGAAACTACAAACATCAAGAGAGCCATAGCCAAGCCAACGCAGCAAGGCCACAGCCAAATGAACTTACAAAAACCAGGGCGAAATAAAAGTAAACCAAAACCAAACTAAATTACAAAGCAAAAACACATAAACGGCTGAG